CAGATCCCCCGTCGGCGGGCTCCTTGGCTTCGATCTTCGTAGTCGACACATAAGGCAGCCTGCTGCGACTTTCTTAACTGTTGGTCGCAGCCGCAGGATCCAGTACTGCTGCCTGACGTCGTTGACCACTCGCTCGTTGTTGCAGTGTCCCGCTCGTCTGTGCTCTCGATCAATAATTTTCTTCGCGAGTTCGTGGCGTCCGTCCAATAATACCGGCTTCTTCGCTGTTTCCGGTACGTCCGCCTTGTTAATGCGTCCGTTTAGTTTCACAAGCCCGTCCTCCCAAGTGAGGTCGTAACGGTGCAGAGGGCTCGTTCGTGCTACGGGGACTCCTTTCTTCAGGCACTCGATTTCTTGGCTGAAGGAGTCTTGTTGCGCCTGCTGCAGCCATAAATTTGTCGCTCGGTTGAAATGTTCGCGGCTGAGTGTCTTCGTTCTGTCGCGACATCTTTCCACGAAGAGTAGCGCTTGCGCTGTTGCGCCGATCAGTCGCTCGAACGTCGAGAATCGTTCTATCTCCGGTAACGCCGCGTTTCTCTCTGTTGTGTGCGCGATGACGTGTGTTATTTCCGTCGTTTCGTCATCTTCTCGATCCGTTGGTGGCTTCGGCCATTCCGATCTTGGTAATTTCAAGAAGGATGGTCCCGTGAACCACAGGTCGTTTTCGTTGGCTGGCGTATAACCGGCGCGTGTGGCGACGTCGGCTACGTTCAGATGCGTCGGTATCCATCGCCAGTCTTGCGGTCTGGATGACTCAGTTATTTCTCCCAGACGGTGTGCGACGAATGGAGTGTAGCGCTTGCTTCCATTCCGCAGCCAATGAAGCACCGTCTGAGAGTCGCTCCAGTACACGGTGTCGTCGACGTTGACACGGTGTTCTTCTCTGATTGCTTTCGCTAGTCGCGTTCCGATGAGGGCCGCTTGAAGTTCCAGGCGCGGTACGGTTTGGGTCTTCAAGGGCGCGACCTTAGCTCTAGCCGCTATCAGAACTGTCTCGATAACATGGCCGGGTCCGTAGTGCAACCTCCAATACGCCGCCGTTGCGTAGGCTTCTTCGCTGGCGTCGCAGAATACATGAAGCTCACGGCGACGCACTTCTCTCCCCCCGTTGTAACTACGGGGTAGCCGTAGTTGGTCGATTGCTGGCAGGCTTGTCAACCATGCATCGAAGTCCTCGCTCAAGTCGGATGGTAGAGGGTCGTCCCAGCCGGTCTTGAGGCGCCATAGTTTTTGAAGAGTTATCTTCGCTGTGATTGTGAAGCAGCTGAGCAGTCCGAGCGGATCGTATATGCTCATCACCGTCGATAATGCTTCTCTTTTCGTCGGCGGGCGTTGTCGAGACTTCACTGGCAGTGGGACTCTAGGCAGGGCGGTGTTGAAGCCCAGCCGATCGGTATTTGCATCCCAAAGCAGGCCCAATGTCTTCTCTGTGTCTCCAAACGTCGTCGTCCCGCTTTTGGCTCTACTATCCGGGTTCACGGCTTGTAGTAGCTTCCTATTGTTACTGTTCCATCCCCTCAGGTGGAATCCAGCCTTCTGGTGCACTGCGTCGACTTGGGTGATGACTTCGTGGGCCTCTCTCGGATCATTGAAGCTGTCGACGAAGTCATCCATGTAGTGCGCTTCGGTGATTGCGCGCAGTGCTGCAGGGTGCGTCTCAGCATGCTGTCTCGCGTTGTGGTCCCTCACGCTGTGTGCGAGGAACGGTGAGCTCGATGCGCCGAAGATCATCGATGTCATCTTCAGCTTGCGCGGTGGTTCATTCTGCCTGCAGTCGCGCCACAGGAACATCTGTGCGGGTTGGTCCTCGCGGCGTATCTTGATCCGCAGGAACATTTCCTCGATGTCAGCTGTCACCGCGTATGCGCCCTCTCGGAACCGGAATAAAATGGTCTGCAGCGATCGTAGCAGATCCGGCCCTTCGAGTAGGTGATCGTTCAGGCTGACACCTCGAATTCTTGCTGCTGCGTCGAAAACCAGTCGCAGCTTCCCGGGCTTATTGGGATTCTTGACGGCGAAATGCGGCAGGTACCATGCGACGGGGCTGGCGTCCTCGGAGCCGTCGCAGGGTTCGGCGTATCCCTTTTTCTACGAGGTTGTCGATCCTCCGCTGGTATTCTTCCATGTCGCGTGGATCTTTCTTCAGCTTGTTCTCCAGATTTGTGAGCCGGCGGAGTGCTGAGTCGTAACTCCGTGGCAGTTTGGCGTCGTCGTTTCGCCAAGGCAGGCCCACTTCGTATCTGCCGTCCTTGTGCTTCACGGTGCGTTCGAACGTGGAGACGGCACGCTTGTCCTCTTCGCGGACGTGTGATGCGTCGAGCGACACTCCGAGTGAGTCGATCCGGAAGTGTCTCGACACGAGTTCCTCGAGTCGGTCGTCTGATGCTTCGGTCGTGACGACATGTAGGATATCCTCGGTGCGGCGAAGCGATCTCGATGGCGCCGTCCCGTGGATTACCCATCCGAGTTCGGTTTTGGAGGCAGCTGGTTCCTTGGTTTTTCCTGACCGTAGCTCACGGGTCACTATGAGCTCCCAGTTGTCCGTCCCGATCAAAATGCGAGGCTTCGCATTCTTGTATACGACTTCTCGCTCGTCGAGATCTCTCAGGTGTCGTAGCTTCATCGCCTCCGCCGGTATCGATTGCGGCGTGAGGTCCAGGCCCACCATGGTGCGAGCGTTGATTTTGAAGATCTGGTCACTGCGCGCTCCTTTTATTCCAATCTTCACTCGACGGCTCTGCACGTGACTTTGCTTCTTGTTTATTCCTCGGACGTTGAGCTGTGCGGTCGGTCCGTCGGCGCCGATCTGTCGCGCCAGGTCGTCGTCTAATAAGGTGACCGTCGAGCCTTCGTCGAAGAGCGCGTAGGTGTCGCAGCTCCCACGTTGGCCCGTGATTGTCACGGGGCAAATCTTCAATTTGACGGCGCGGCTTGTCGTCGTGGCAGCCGTCGTCGTTTCGGTGGTGGCTGGTTCCGTTGCGGCCGCGTTTGAGTCGGTCGCGCTCGTAGCCACGTCGTTCGTCGTTCCACGCTCATCTGCGTGCAACAGTCGGTGATGCGGTCGCTTGCATCCGTTGATTCCGCAGAGCTTCTGTCGGCAGTTCAATCGACGGTGTCGGCCCACGATGCATTTGAAGCAGAGCCCCTCCTTCTTCACCAGCTCCCATCGGTCATCATACGTTAGCTGCTTGAACTTTGGGCAGCTAGGTAGTGTGTGGGCTTCCTGGCACGAAAGGCATCTGCGCTGCGGTGCTTCTTCGGTGGCGACGTACACCGTCTTCTTCTTAGCCTCCGGTCTGGGGGCGGGGCGAGGCGTTTCACGTGTTCGTTGCGATGTGGAGGGTGCGGTGAGGTTCGATACATAGTTGTATCGCATGCAGCGGTCAGCTTCCTTCATCAGGAACGATGAAAGTTTGAGTAGATCGGCGTTCGGGCCCGGCTGTGACTCGGCGAAGTTGCACCAACTCGATACAAGGTAGCTCGGCATCTTGTCCAAGACTTCCCGGGTCAGCAGTGGGTTAAGTAGGTACTCTGGCTGCACGTTCCTCAGGACGGCCACGACGTTCTGTAGCTTCACCGCAAACATGTTAAGATCGTTCGCGGTAGGTCCAATCTTCGGCAGCTTCCGTAGATCGGCGAAAGCCATGTCCACTAGTCTTTCTGGCCTTCCGTAGCATTGCTCCAGTGTTCGCATGATCTCGTCGGGGTGCGTCGCGGTGCTCAACAATGATGCGACGTTTTCCCGAGCTTCTCCACGTAGGCAGTTTCTTAGTCTTGCCATATTCTCTGTAGGTGTGAATTCGTACAGCCGCGTTGTTTCTCGCATCGCAGTCGCGAACTGTAGCCATTCCAGCGGTGAACCAGAGAATATCGGTAGATCCGATGCTTGACGCGGCGGCGGTCGTGACTTCACGAGGGTTTCGAGGACAGAGGCGAGTTGATCGATGCCTCTGCCTCGCGATGACGACCGTCTTCGTTCTTCCCTATCTGGGCGTCGCGTGTCGCGTTCAGGTGGCGGTTCAGCCACGGCGGTCCTTGAGAGCTCCCCCCGTTGTTGGTCGACGTTCGCGTCGTCGAGCCACTCGAACACTCGATCTTGCAATTTATTTGCCGGTTCTTCAGCTTCGGGTTCGCTCTCTGCTCCGTCTAGCGTTTCTAACTCGATATTGAGCGTCTTTTTTATGAGGTTCGCTTCAATTTCGAGTTCTCGGCGTCTTATGGCAGCCAGTCGTTCTTCTGCTTCGATGCGTAGCTTCCGGCGTGCCGCGTTGCTCGCTGCCGAGCGGGTCGAACGCGCGACGTGCACTCTCCTCGCCGGTTGCACCGATGACGTCATCGCAGATGTCGTTATGCCAGTAGTCGCCGCTGTGTCCATTGGGTGTGCTGCGCGTTCGTCCGCTCCGCTCGGCGGCTGCGTAGTCACTGCCAAGGCGACGCGTGCTCCGGCAACGTCTGCCCCAGCGCGGTTCGCGTTAGGCGCTAGTTGCGAGACTTGCGGTGCGGTGCGTAGGCTCTCCCCGGCGTTACCCGTCTCGAGGCGTCCTCGTACGGTCGGTGTACTTGAGGGCGATCTCGGCGGCTGGTCGAAGACACGACGTTGGTTTTCTTCGTCTTGGCTTCTTGTAAGCACCATCTTGATTCACTGTTGGCTGGATCTCGGAGGTTCTATACGTGTTTAGATCCGGCTCGAAGGACCAAAACTATTGAGGGTGCTGATCCGGCTCGAAGGACCAAACTGTAGACGATGTTGTATAACCGTGGATGATGGTGAAAACAAAGACGGATTTCTTCTATAGACGATTTATTGTATTTTCTTCTTACTGGCTACTTGTTACTGCTTGACTATACTGCTTGACTGACTTGACTTGACTACTTGCTGAACTGCTTGACTGACTACAATATTTACAAATTTGGCCCTACCCTTATTCTAAACTTAACATCTAACTTAGATACTAGTGACGCGCGGCGGCCGACCAATCACAGCGCGTTTTACGCCCGCGCGCCGGGTGGGGGAATCGCCCCCACCGTGCGGACGGCGCCTACGCAGCCAATGGGCTCCCTGATAATTCAGCTAATGTAGGCGCTGTGATTGGTCGTTCGATCTGTACATTTTTCGGCACGTGGCTGTCTTCAACAGGTCAATGGCGTCGATTGAAAAAAGCTATATATCCTGCAAATTACAAGTTTCCAAGCAACGATATCTCCATCGTGGTATCTGTTTTATTATTTTAAATGATATATTTTTTTTATTTATTATTAACTTCACAATTATAGAAAGAGAGCTCGTGACAAAAATATGTATGAGCTTTCTAAAGCTTGATATTTCCATATGTTGAAGTACTAAGGAGGCACTATAAATCAGGCACTGGAACACCTGGTGGCAGCGGCGCGAAATTAACTTCTAGCGATTCTGAATATATCTGTACTTTAAAATTAAAGTCTTGAGTATTTTCTTAATTTTCAACCAACACGAAACTCTTCTTAAAATACAAAAACGGAGATCTGATGAGACGCCGTGTTTCACAATTGTGCATTCTGAGCAGTTAATATCTAGTTGCATAAATGTCTATTTAAATTTTCATTAGTTTAAAGCGTTACCGATACAATATTCCCTATTTAGTACATTCATTAGAGCTAAGTCATCATTAGTGGATGTTTGTGCAACAGGGTATAAGTCTGATTTCATCTTTAAGAATAAGTTTTCACTGATTTCAAGTTATTAAAAAGTATCTTCAATATGCGTTATGATTTTTGTACTTTACATTTTTTCCATCGTGACCAGGTGTTCCAGCACCTTACCTCCGCTCTAGGCACTGAGTGATGTATTTGCATATTTTGCATATTTTTGTAACAACCTCTTATACTAGAGGTATGTATATACGTGACTACGCGACGGATCATCCTCCGAATGTGTAAGATTGAATGTCATATCACATTATTGTTTTATTGGTCAATGATATGGGCCCACATAGATCACTTGTTCTGCGTGCTGGTCACGTCCACAGGCGTAGTGGCTAGGTAGGGTAGTGATCACCCATTCTATGACCGCGAAAGTTACTTAATCTCGGCAATGCATCCGCATGCACTGACCAATTAGGTATCATCATCAGCCCTGTTACGTCCCCACCGCAGCGGCTCAGGCCTTCCTTATGGATAGTTAAGGAGGACTGCATATGCAGCCGAGACTAACGGCTTAATGTGCCTTCCGAAGCACTTTATTCCGAAAAATTTTTCGGTCACCCATCCCGTGACCGACCTTTGCGAAAGTTGCTTAACAACAATAATCGCGGGCCGCGGCGCTTATCTACTACGCCACCGAGCTACTCTACTGAGCTATATCATACTGATTTTTATAAACTTTTAATTTTGGAATTATCTTTGTAAAACAGCTGTACCAGAGTGTCAGCCTTCTCCAAGTATATAAAGGAAAATAAGGCTAATACTATTTTAATTATCTTTGTAAAACATATGATAATTAAAAGTTCTATCAAAAACGTTTTTTTAGTTTACTAAGGAACCATTTGACTTCAATAACATTGTCTCGGCGATTCCATACGCATCAAGATATAAAGACTACAAGGGGGAATGTTTGGCATCAGGATACGGAAGACTTAATTACGCATTTTCAAAGAAAAAGGTGACGACAATAGAGTATATAAAGTAAGATCAGTTTTATAGAAAAATATTGCTTGGTCGTTTTACCAGACAATTCTTTTGAATTTCCATTTTGATGCATCTGTTATTATAGTTCTTCAAAAATAATGACTCTTTTTTTTTAATTTTCAATAGTCATTTTCTGTGAAAAATTATAAAAATACCTTTCTGTGTATTTAAACAATGCACAAATTACCATTGACAATGAAAGCAGCAAAAAACAAGTACTGATACACTTGCTTTTTATTTTAATAAAAATAATAAAACGAACAAAATTTAACAAAATGTACAAATCAACCGTTTCTAACTTTGAAAAAAAAAGTATGTAGGCATCATGACAAGGTTACTTACTATTGGTCGATAGATGTCAGATATAGCTTATTAAAATGACCATACCCTTATCTTAAAGATTAAAGAAGACACGGTTGATTTGGAAATTAACAAATTTAATTTTATCCTATATTTTTTTTCTCGATTTTTAGTTACAATGCTATACGCTGATGTTAGCAAATTTAGCAATAATGCCGACTTATTGGTGCAGCAAGAAACATCGTAAGGACATGAGACGTTTTATATGCACTTCGGATAAAGTTACTGACGTTGGAAAGGTGAGAAAATTTCTAATATTTGACTATTGTGATAAAATTTAAACAAAGGACCCTTTTAAATCTTTTTAAAGAGAAAGGAATATAAATCCCTTATTGCAGAATAGTGTCTTAACTCGTTTGATGTGTTTTTAACCCATAAAGTATATAAATTACAATATTAGAATTATTTGGGAATAGATTTGGACAATCCTCTATGTTCCAAATCTTATTTAGCATAACACACTTGGCATCTGCTTTAGAATAACATTGATAAAAAAGACATACGAATTTACAATGACATATATAACTATGGTGGTAGAATTTTATGCCATTCGCTAAGTAGGTTCTGTATAAGTTACATTCACATTATGTCATGAAAAGTTCTGCCAATAAAAAGAGGCCTTTACAATAGGTATGATTATTTTGTTTGTCCGTCAGTTAGATTATTGAGCAATAATAAACAAATATTTTTCCATTTTGTAATCAAAAAATTACGGCGATGCATTGAATTGAAATGTCGCATGTCGTCACGCCATTGTACATTTTGTGTGACCTAGCGAACTCCCACTCCTCAACTTTAATACCTATTATCCATTTCCTTTTAATTTGAAAAACCTGACTGACCAAATAGATTTTTTTTACTCAGGCTTCGCCCGCGTATACAATATACAATATTATATTGTATACGCGCCTATACAAATTTGCACTGCCGTTTTCCCGTTTTTCCGGATAAAATATTACCAACCGCATATGATGTAGCTGCCCGTAAATGAAAAGATTATTAAAATCAGTTCAGTAGTTATAACCTATACGATGCAAACGAACAAACAATCCGATTAACTTAGATAGTTTGTACATGTACTCATCGGAATATTATTTTAGGGTGATTCCGGTGGTCCTTTAGTATGCGCTAAGACAGGAGACCCCAAAGAACGCGGTAAAGGCATAGTGGTCGGTATAGTGAGTGGAAACAAATATAACGCCGGTTCCTTCTTTACCAGAGTGTCAGCCTTCTCCAAGTATATAAAGGAAAATAAGGCTAATACTATTTTAATGTCTTCATGTACAAATTTATTTATAATAATATATTATGTATTTTATTTATTCTGTTTGTGTTTTATTGTATAGTTATATAGTTAAGAAAATATCTGAGATAATTTCTACATTTACATGACATCCTTGCATTGGCTATTAGAATAATGTAATGACTTCTAGCTACTGGATTAAGTAGCGACTTTACTGCAAACTTATTAAGTTATAATACCTGTCTACTGTTTGAGGAGAACGAATAAAATCAATCAATCATCACTTCTACAATGCCCACTGCGGATAAGCCACTCCCATGGATCTCCAAAAAATCGGTCCTGTATGCGACCACCTAACTATTCAGCCACGACTCTAGACACAGGATACGACATTTTAACTATCTTATAGCAACATTTCGTATCATTGACTACTTTGACAAGTATTTAAAAGAAAAATAGTTTATCGACATAAAATCGCTAAGTTGTCGTACACACCCCTGACTGCCAGCATCCAGCGATTTTCCATTACTTTTTACCGTTCCGCTCCATTCCACATTATGCCACTTGTTTTAACTACCCTTTTTTGGACCCAGAATGGGGCTAGTCGAATAGCAGGGGCATACCCACTAAAACCTAGCGTTCCTCTCTAAGGAGGCGATGCACGTGAACAGCCCGTAAACCACTTACCGCGCCGCTTTATAATCTGATCTAGTAACAAGAACAATGTCAAAAAGTGGTGTTGCAGAAACGCCATTATAGATAAACGTCAATCGAGTAGAGATATTAAGTATACTTCCATCTATACATCGCTTATTTTTTACTTAACATGCATATTGGTAAAATACACCATTCGATAACAAATTTCAAGCTGCATCTACCGATAGAATCCATTTAGTTTTTGTAAAAATTATCAATTAAGAAGTTTCACCAGCATGGGTTCGATTTATACGACTTATGACGCCGTTAGTGCACCAACGCAATCGCTTACGAAAGCGAAACATCGGTGAAACAACGTACAGGGTTGTCACCTTTTGAGAAACAAAGTCGTGACATTCAGATAGTCATCAGAGATCGGGTCGGGTGGCAAGTTGGTAAACCTAAATGTAAAACATTTGGATCTGACGTTGTAATGACATTTTATGCAGTTGTCTGCGAATCCGTACTGATAAGGACGCAGCTATTTCATCGAGCTAATAATAGAGCGAGACAAACATATGTGAAATTATCAAATGTTTTGCATTTGCATGCGATTGCATTGGTGTACCAACGACGATAGTCTAATGAAACCAATAATTCAATTGTGAGTAATTTTTATTAAATTTACGAAGTAATACACAATAAAAATTTCAAAACTGAACAAAACAAAAGTATAACAATAGATATGTTATTATGATTATCACATGCATCTGTAACCCATTTATTAAATGGTCCAACTTTGTGATGTATTGTCGGTAAGTATGTGAAGATCAAACTGGTAACTCCAACTAAAAGACCTTGCGTGGAATTGATCTCTTTGGGATCTCCCGTTTCTCTACAAATCAAGGCACTGCCTTCAGTTTCCTGCATGAAATCATAAGTATTAATTTCCATGTTTTTGAAGATTAAGTTGATTTTTATTTCAACTTTAGTAAAGGCCAGTTAAAATATGTTTGACCAGAAAATTATCTCGAGTTCATTAGTGTATCGAAAAAAAATATTTTATTTTATTTTCCATGGTAGATTCACGGTTGCATAAATGAACTTACAATATCGTTACATATATCAGATAACCAATTATAATCCACACAGTTAGCCTTAAAATCGGGTAACAATTTTGAGTTCACTCGGTAATTGTGAGGTATGACAAAAGACAAGTATTACACCAAGGCACATGCAAACAGTAAATTTCTTCTTTTTTCCTTATTTATCGGATAATCATTCGCTTGTGATTTCAAAACATTTTTAAGCCGTTGATCCCGGCTGCTCCTGCAGTAGTTAACACTCTCCGATTCGCATTGGGCTAGTGTGGCCATCCAACTATTACGATGGCTCTATCCTAGCAGGTGGGACAATATTAGCTGATGATGAACTTCATGTTGGTTGCGTCACATACACTTACCACAGATTGCAACAGAAGCTTCCGTCTATCAAATTCCGTGCAGTAATAAAGCCTGCAGTCTCTCATGAACGTAGACTCACATTTCATTCTGGGCAACATATTGAAAACCTCCTTAAATAAGAACTTTTGTGACGACCAACTCTGCATCACAGACAAAAAAGGATGATTAGCACTACAAAATACGAAACTAAAGTGTAATATAATATTATTGTATTGACCAAAATAACAGATATTGAAAAATATTATTGCATATATGATATTACCACTTCCGTCCCGAAACTAAACCGCAGTAATAGCAAAAACAAGGTAAAATGTTAAAATTTTGTGTATCTTTAATAAGTCACTGTTTATTATCAAATTTTGAATGCCAAATGTAAGAAAAGTTATAATACTAAAATAATTCACAAATTTCAGGTTGAAAACACGACCAATAAATTAATTATAGTCGTTATAATTTTTAACCTCTATTATTGCTTCTTTATTTTTTTGCTAAGTTGTTTGTTAAACTATTTTAAATGCCGTAAAGTAAGCTAATGCTGCATATTCAATAGTTTTTTTTATTACATTAACTAACTAAAATGCAGTTAATAGATCAAAATTGCTACTGCATATCAGGTGGTAATCATAGCGTATTTTTAGATAAATTAACAAATTAGGCGCCTTGATTTTAAAAGAAAAGTATTAAGTTTAAAAAAAAAAGTACTAGGGGAAGTCCGGAAAAGCAGACATCTTAAGCTTTGAAAGACTATGAAATGTGATCTACTAGACATAGAAATAAAATAGTGATGAAATATAATTCAGTCTTTATTAAAGTTAAAAAAAATCAACAAACAAAATCGTAATCTAATAACGATCCTTAAAAATTTTCATTAAATTGCATCCTTCACCGCTATCCGTTTTGCCCAACCGATCGGGTAAAGTGAATAGAACCAAAGGGCAAAGTGAACACAATCAGACTAGGAACAATTACGACAAAAATATTAAGTAAAAATAACAAAAAAATCAAGAAAGTAACTAATCACTTATCAGTGCAGATAAACTTGTAAGGTTAGAGTTTGGCCTTCAGACGACATAAAAAACTCAAAACCGAAAATTTTGGTGTCACTGCGGTTTCTGCCCGAAAAGCACTTTGTAAGAAATGTTAACCTTTATCAGAAAACTTAACCGAAGTAACTATTCACAGATAACTCTTAAATTGTTAAATGTTAAAACTGAAAATCTTAAAAATGGAGAAGTATCACAGGTATAAATTCAAAGTAACAGCAAAATAAGAATTATAAAGATAATTATTACCCTTGCCATCCGTACAGCAGTAACAATACAGACACCATCGAAGTCTAGATTTAACGAAGCATATGCTATTTTGTCTATAAACTGATTGAAATTCCATGGTTTTTCCAGCTGCTGAAAACCAAAATTTTAAAGTAAGTTGTAAAGTGATTCAATAAAATACACTGGTGGAAAGCTAGTTTGGGGAAAATGCAAGGATTAATCAAGAATTGACTCGCCCTTGTTAAAGAATGCTTACCACAACGGCTAGATTGTAGGCGGGAAACCTGAAGTACTTCTGTGTGTATATCTTGTCAATGTTTCGCCATTGTTGAACGGCTTCGTCGTCGTCTACGGGCTGGGTTGCGTATGTAGTTAATAAACCACCCACCACTTTTAATGAATTCCATTTATGTTTAAAGCTGTATATAGAAGAAGTTTAGCACTAGTGATCATTATGAGAAAATCTGTACGAAAGAACCTAAATTGTGCTCAAGAGCTGTGTTATAGATATTTGCGTTGCAGCACCTACACATCTAAAATGTTGCCAAGACAAGACCAAATGAAACGAAATTTCGTCTTAACAGCGCTAAGATGTCGTATCCTATGGCTAAAATCAAGGCTAGAGAGTAAGGCGATCGCACACATTTGTATATTTAATATTTACTATATAATAGGTCTCACCGTTTTCTGTTTGTATAGAAACAATGAGCTGAAGACAATACTCGATCTTCCCTTATGATACTCCCACCGCAGATAGCTCGGTATTCTTTCTTTACTTTATTCGATGCTTTTAGGATAAATACCTGCATTAATATATATTTATATTTATATACCAGATTAGTTTAAAATTTTAATTTTTCTATTCTATGCTACTACTTCGTCTGCGTAAATTATAGCCTGTAACATCCGCACATGTTATAGCTTTTTGTAGATCAAAAAATTCTTAAAATGAGTCCAGTACTTTCAGAGCTCATTCAATGCAAACAATCAAACCTTTTCAGGGTTGCGTACTTCGAAAGGAAAAATGGAACCCTTAAAGGGTCACTTCGTTATTCGTCCGTCCGTCCGTATGTCAAGACCCCATTTTCTCAGGGATGGGTGGAGGAATGAAGCTGAAATTTATAACAAATACTCTCTACTGTCCCGTAGAGTTGTGAAAAACAAAAGTTCTAAGCCAACATATTCAAAAGATACAGCCATATATGCCGCGAATTTCCGCAAATTTTCGAAACTCGCAAGAGAATCAAAACCTAGAAGGCACTTCCCGAGCGACGAAGCAACGTCTTACATACAGATAAAGGAAAAATTGCGAAAACCCTAAAAAAATTACATAAAAAATTCTATGTATAATCTATGTCGAGAACGACATCATAGGCATTCAGGAAATAATTGTGATTGATCATAGCTCAAGTTTCACATTAATATGTATTTGAGTGATTAATTTATTATCACTTACATCTTTTATTCTATGCTATTAATACAAAAATTGCAAGCACACTTGAATTTCCAAATTTTTTTTCCTACTTATAATTTAAGACGTTCGGATTGACAAGAAAAACAAGGGGCCTTTATTCATAAGTACATTTTTGATATCTCTCTAAAATTTCAACAACAAATACTAAAAACCAGTATAAAATAAATATTTAAGGGGGCCCTCATATAACAAACGTGATTTTTTGCTCATTTTTGTTACTCGAGCTCGAGTCGGACTCGCACTGTTACTCAATGCTTTTACCACTCAACCAATAAACTACTTTTCAAATCCATATTTATTGTAAATTAGTAATTAAAATTACAATAATAAGATTCAGTTTTATTTTGCCTTGACACACAAAGTATCTACGCGCTTTACTCATTGGGACTAATTTGTCTAAATATAAAGAGCTGCTTTTATAAACTTTAAAGTGCTTTACAAAATACGGAATGATTTGAAAGAACAGCTTGGAATAAAATTGTGTGAGGCACTTGTTCTTTCAAAGGTTTTTGGTCCATGTCTTATTGAGCGCACCAAAAGGGTTTTACAGCGAATACAGAATGTTCTGTTTTACAGTCCCTCCAAGAACGCATATCATACCTCTTCTCAATAGGGCCAACTTGTTAAGGATGGAAACCAGATGTAATCTACATCTTGCGAGTCTGCTGTTCGATGTAGTATTGAATAAGGTTCCGGAATATTTGGCAGATAAGTTGATTTGGGCTAATTCTAGGTCATACTTGAAGTCTCGTCGAGAAACTCGTCTTGCCCCGGCCAAAAATGCAGCATTTCGTGGTAGCTTTCGGTATTTGGCAACAAAATGTTGGAACAATTTACCACAACCAATTAGACAGGCTAAATCTAAGTTTGCTTTTAAATAATAATAATAATAATATTGTTTTATTAAAGGCAAATAAGACCCAATACTAATACTAAAAATAATAATAATAACAATAATAGGGGTACCCAATTTAAAGTTTATTTGCGATTTACGCTCCGGTGCACCGAAATCCAGTGCTTGAATACAGGGTTGTTTAAAGTTTCTACTACTCCCTTAATTACACCATTGCATGAATTATTAATTTTTTGCCAGAATGAAGCGATGCGCCCTCTAATAACAGCGAAAAAATCCGCTATGCGAGCTTTAGCAAACATACTTGACGCACTACAGTAACGTGGCTGTCACATAAGGATACGAAATGCGTCATTATATTGAACCCTTATGGATGAATAAGAGGCACGACTGTAATTAACCCACAGCTGACAGGTATAGAGAGATTGACAGTAGGAATTAAATAATGTCATTTTCACTTCGTCATTACATTTGCCAAACTTTCTAGCGAGCATGTTACATCGAAATGATAATGCTCGTCTCTCACGTTCAATATCTAGGTCGTCATTTCCATTCTCTGCAAGAATGTGACCGAGATATTTAAATTCGCTCACAACCCGAAGCGCTACACCATTCAAAAATACGTCTGGTATGTTCTCCGGACCCTTCCCCGCCCTGAAAACCATAAGCTCTGTCTTGGACACATTATAACTCAGCCCATGCGTAATAGCATATTGCTCACAGACTGAGACAAGCCTACGGAAACTTTTAATCGAAGGGGCCAGCAACACCATATCGTCGGCATAACTTAGACTATTGACACATCTACCACCAATATGGCAGCCGACACCAGTTGCCCTTAGCTGGGCTAAACTGGGCTTAGGAAGCAATTCCTTAATAGTCAATGCAACATAGAAGGTTGTCATGTACCGTAACTTACCGATATCAATAGCTTAGTGAAATTTTATTTATAATTTAAGTGAATTAATAAATTTATGTACATGATTATGTTTGGATAATTTCAATTTTTAAATGGATATTTAAATATTAATTTAATTTGTTATTTTATGTATTATTTTATTTGTTATTTCGATTATATTGGATAATTTCTAAATCATAATAGAACACATATTTAGAAAAATTGCACTTGGGATATTCTTATCTTCTGCTTTTTACACAGCGACGATTTGCTTAATTTAGTCTTATAAGTAACAACTCACGCGTATCTTTTAGCCTCCGTCTGAAAATCAGCGTCATGACGATAACAATTTTGTCGTCGTGATATATGCTGAGCCGGAGACTTTTTCACCAGTGGCACAGCTCATTAGCCAATAATAGTTTCTTTTTTTTTAATGATGTCATTACCACTTTATTATACTGTGCAACAACGTGGGAAATAAACTTTTTATTATTATTATTGCGAGATTTTTAGTCTGTCACAAGAAGATGAGTAAAAATATTATTTATTATTATTGACGTATAAAATATAGGTAAGATACTTAACTTTTTATAGATACTTAATGTTTATGATAATGGATAATCACTTTTAAGATCTTTATTACTTACGTGGTGTTTTAACTGACCCAATTTTACTTCCTTTCCACCGAAGTAAGTCAGTTTTAGGCGCTGCGTTAACGTCTGCAATAAATAATTTTTAATTTTATCGGTCCAGTAGTGTAGGATATACAATGCAAACAAACTAACAAGAATATCCTGTAAATTTTAAAATATTTATGTATTCGTTATCTAGTATCCATAATACAAGTTCTTATGAAACATAAGTTTTGTTAGATAATTTGGTACTTCAGGAGCTAAATAGCGGAGGAGTTTAAGCCTTCGGTCTACGATGCTAACGCTAAGGAATGTTCGCGAAGCCGGGTCATAGGATGGGTGATCAAAAATTTATTATCTCGGGCCTCTCTGTACTTCTTAAGATTTAAGTCCCGGTTGCATCTACATACGTTAGCACCCACCAATCCGCACTGTCCCGCGTGGTAGGTCATAGCCCATTCTCCCAATTCAATTCCATCCATAGCGACGTCCTGTACCCCTACAATGGAGTCTTTGACAAGCTGATGATAATGGTTTAGTACTTTACCTCACTACGAGTCACATTTGTAGTGCAAGAAGGATTCAAGAAACAAAACAAAATGATAATGTACAGAAGCAGTTTGAATGATTACGATGCAGGTTCTTTTGAAGATATTCCACCTGGATCCATGAAATCCTAAAACGCCTTTGATCCAAAGTATCTCATCTAGAAGAAAAGTAAGTACGTATGTAGTTGTAATACTACGACTACAGAACTACAATATTATTATATCTACGAATACTATGGATCGTTGCAATTGTTGACATATTGACAGGTAATGACAACCTTGACGATTATACATGTAGAAATAATGGAGTATATATAATATACTCTACTCTATATAGGCAGAAATTAATTTATTCACTTGTCGTTGACAGCAATGTGAGAAATGCGCAGACAAGCTATTAATAAAAGAAGACGAAGAAGAGAATATAAAGACGAAGTTGGTATATTGTACCACCGGATAAATTGTACCACCTCGAGATTTAAACAAGCATTGACAGCGCCCTCAACTATTTGATAAAAATTTGATGTTAAAAACCTAAAGATATTTCTCGCAAAAAAGATACGTTATGATTTTCGTTTTTTTTTTTACTTAAACAATCTTTAATAAGGTTTTCATTCTTTAAAATATCAAACATTATATTTTGAGATTATTTTATTAAAATGTAATGGAAGCGTTATATTTTATTTAAAAGTTGTTTCATCAAACAATTTAGCAACTGTATTAATTTAAAGTGACATAACTATTAGTGGTACAATTTATCATGCCTATGGTATAATTAATCGGACTAGTTGGATAAATTGTTCCAAGGGTAAGCCTCTAGAATAAAATATGTTAAAAATATTATACAAAATGGTACGCTACTGATTTTGATGGAAAAGTTAGACTAGATTCTAAACTTTGTTTTATACGAGAAAAAGTGTTTTTCAATCGACATTAAAACAAGTTATAATTGTGAAAGTAAAAAGAAGTACAATATAAACGACTCTCCCCTACATAGTATCCCTTACTATAAGTAGTATCCCATTAAAAACATAAATGTAACATGAGAGCCAAGTTCAATATTATGTAATGTGCCCCGATTGTTGTTGTCTTCAATGACAAAAGAAGTGAAATCTTAATGGGTGCCAAGTTCAAATCAATACATCTAAGAAAATATTATGTACGCAAGAAAACATTAGGATTATTTTACAAAAAAGTAGTGTTCATAATCTTAACACAAGAAATAAAAATAAACTTGCCGTTCCAAGCTTCAGACTTCATAAAACCAGAGGATCATTACTGGGTAAATGTATTGCTATGTTCAATAAAATTCCACAAAATGTATTCCACAAAATGCCAACACTGCATTATAAAACTGATTAATATTTTTTGTGGGAAATATACTGTATCTTCGGACAGCAGTCTAAAATAAGATATTATTTCTTTATGCCGGACATTTTATTTTTGGCGGTTAATAGGGATGAAGACTAATTTTTGTTTGACTATAACAAAAATGTCTATAACGAATATTTAACACGTATTTTTTTTATTTTGTGAGTCATCATTAAATTATACATTGAGTTGAAACGTCGCAAGACGTCACACCCAAGACGCTATTCATTGCGACGCGGACTTTCCGTCACGGATTTACGGATGCGTCCGTTGTCTAGCGAAACTCAGTCGCCCAGACCTTAACTTTTATAAGTAATCTTCCAATACTGATGTCCCCTAAATACTGAAATAATAATTTAATACCATAATACATACGAAAGTCGACTCTACTCTTACTTACAGGTATTAAAACGGTACATTCGTTGTATATTCACGTGGATACCTTGAAATCCACATGATGACCAGCTGTCTTAGGACATAAATGAGAGTCGCATAGATTTATTTCATAAAAATAAATAACACCTGACTTTTAAATAAGACCAATACTAAATGTTCCTAATAGAATCTACTTATTGAAAAATTATAAGAAAATTATAAAAAAATACTAGTTTCGGCTTCTTAATTTGGTTTCACCTACTTATGTTACTTGTTGTCGAATTTCATCGAACTAAGTCATCTGGAACTGGGTTGCAATTTTGTTCTATAAATCAGTCAATACGTGATAAAAATGATAATTTTGGACGTTAATATCTAAATTACCTTTTGAGGTGTATCTATAAAATTTTGAGCACGTATATATTTCACGAGTCTCAATATATGAGCAAATTAACAGGTTTATATGGGCACGTTCTAGCGGCGAAAACTCTTTTGAATTTTCTTTTTACAATCTTTTACTCATTACAATTTAATTTTACATATAGAAATTAATTTAACATTGGCAAAATTGTGCGAAATATGCAGATAAGTCATTAATAAAAGAAGAACGACTCTTTCGATAAAAACGTTTGTGAAAAGAAAACTTTACAATGGTTTAAACCAAAACTTTATATCTCGTTTTATAATACGACAGTAAGTCTCGTATAGAGACCCATGAAGGTTATATAAGTCTCTCAAGTAAAAGATCAATACCTACTTATTAATCAACCTGAACTAAGAAAGTAATTCCATTATCCAGACAGCAAAGACTAAAAGTATATATATGGGAACCAGATAGCATTGAACGTCATCGGCCTTGACCCTAGAAGTTTAGATTATACAATATTTAAAATTCTTGCCTTCACCTCGTTATTTCGTTTATTATCAAGGCAATAGTGATATCTGAAGTCGGTGTTTTTAAATGATCATACAAGTAACTAGCCAATGGGCATCTATTAAGCTGGATACATAATCTGACGCAGTAACTTCAACTGAAGAAGCATTAAATTTTAAGTCAATGACAACTGTATGATACTAATTTAATTTGCTTTATACCTCAGTAGGTATAAAGCAAATTAAATTAGTATCATGCACTGCAGTCAGTCTGAGTGTTATATTTTGAATTCAATTTGTTACCTTGAACTGTTTCAGAGAAAATGTGTTGACAGACATACAGACAAACTAATAGCCAACAATCTATTTCTTTAAATTTTCTATGCTCCTTTTGAGATAACGAAACCTAAAAATCATAGTAAACCTATTTAAAATTGCTGGCCTGTATCCAAACCATAGAAAACAAATCATGCTACAACCCTTTGGTAACATCAAAACTACAACCCTACAATAACGTCTAAAATAAAACAAAGAAGTTTTTTTTACCAATTTTTTTTATTATAAAATACCATTTATCCATTCATTATTCACAAACATTTTATTAATTCTTGAGATTAATATAATATTTGTTTCACGATACAATTTATTCCACGTATTAAGGCTGCTCCAAATAATAACGACATGAATAAATCTAAACGGGTACATAAATCATAAAGTATATAAACAAAGTCTTGCCGAGACTTTAATTGCATAAAAATATAATAAAATCTCATATAATAAGATCCCAGTAGTTCCATTATAGGACTATTAGAATTTTCTTCTTCCTCAGACTATAAAATAGAAACAATTTAATATCACGCTACTTACAGTCATTCCTAATAGAAAACATCGACAATATAATGAGGAAAGATTTGATTGTTTGTTTGTTTGCAACGAATAGACTCAGAAACTACTGGACTGATTATAAAATTTCATTCACCCACGGGAAGCATATGCGGTGAACATAGGTTTTATGCCATATTATCCCGAACGAACATATTATACCAAAAAACAGCAAATAAAAGAACGAAAATGGAAATGATATAGGGAATTAAACGTTACCACAGTAACCATTGTTTACTATTCAATTTGCCATTGTAATTATACCCGTGTCATGATATGAATAGATGTCCAAATAAACAGTTCCCCGAAGACCACGCGGACAAAGCCGCTGGCGGAAAGCTAGTGTATTATAAATGGTGCTTAAGATTTTATTTCAATCCGTTTTACTGTTTAAAATATCAGTGTATTCTTTATCCTTATCAGTTATATCTTTATCATCCCAGCCCCATAAATCTTTTCCATCGCCGGTTCTCGTAGCTCTTGCTCTGACCATTTCATTTGAGACAGTTTTTAAGTCATAAGCCCAGCCGATCTTTGAAAATAAATTTATAAACCATGTAGTGAAGTTCAAATTGTTGTTACCGAGCTCTGCCGTCTTGTAATCCCATGGGAACACATGGTGGTAATTGTGGAATCCTTCACCAAGTGCCACTAAAGATACGAAGATATTTTGCGCTGGGTAAATGCTTTTGTCGTATGGCCTATAACCCCATATGTGGGCGGCACTATTAACAAGAAATGTGACGTTTAAATTTATAATGTATCTCAGCAGGTTGACATGCCATGAGTTGTTGAAAGTTTCACCCCACAGATACATGGGTATTAACGTTGGCAAAATGAAACAGAACGATGCAAAAACTGGTATTGCGTATCTGCAACAAGTAATAAAATAAGAACACATAGTTACTAATAATTATTAATAGTGACAAATAGTCAAAGCTGATTAGCAGTTACAAATTTTACAATAACCAATATCAACCAACAAATATTGATAAGTTGAAATCCTATTAAACACCCTTCTTTTAAGATGGTAATAACAAAACTACATCATTAATAAAATTAGAACGAACACAACGACTCTTACTAAAAACAATGTTATTTAAACCCATGCGATACCCTACCAATACCTTATACGAATATTTATACGAACTTAATTAAATATTAATAAAGTTTATTTGTTAATTTTTTTGTTGTTTATTTTAGTTTTGTAATTTTTTTGTGACAGACTGAGGCCTAAAAGAGGTTTTTATGTAAACCCGTATGACCAGTCCTCATCGCCCTTCGGAGTAACATCATTAGAGTAACGTCTTATCTAAAAGAAAAACAAAGTAGACAAACAGGAAATGGTTACATTACATTAACTTAACAATGAAAACAAAAGAAATTGAAAAATTCTGACAAATGTTGTGTTTAAGCGAGTGATTTAGTGCGTGTGTGTGTGTCTGTATGTGTTTGTGTGTGACTATGTGTGTTTGGGTGTATGCGTGTGCGTGTTTTGTTTATGCGAGAAGTCGTGTAAGAATGCGAAGACTATCTTTGTATTCTAATGATATGAATATTTAAAGTGGGAGTGTGTTTAATGACGGTAAGGTCGAAGAATTAATTTAGTTACTCTAGTAAGAATCACTGCCCTTTCTCTGCAGAAAAAATTTAGACTATTTTAGCAAGCAGTAATTTGGTTTCCTGGTACTTATGTGACTGGTACTTATGTACTGGTACTTATGGTACTTATGTAGCAATTTAATGATGGTTGTTTTATAAGTTGATTTCCTCAAATGATATTGATAAAATTGTGTTTGCTTTATTTGAAAGGATTTGAAGAAGCCGATGAAGTTGTGGGAATGACTGGAATGAAATCGCGTACCACTACAAACATTGCCTTTTCTGCACTTACTTCTATTGAGAGTGGGATTTTAAGGTAACGAGGAATAGATGGCTAGGAACCTGAGGAATATATATTTGCCTTACTGTAAGAACATCCCATATGTTGTATAGGTCATCAGTTGGGAAACGATAAGTCAGCCCTAAACCTGCCTTTAAAACAGTACGTTGGACCCTCTCAAGTTGAATCAGATGAGATTTAGCTGCGCCACCCCAGGAAACGACACAGTATTCCAGAATTGACTGACAAAGCGCGAAATAAACCAATTGTATAATTTTACGAGAAGTCACCTTTTTAAGGGTTTTAAAAACGTAAATAAGTTTACTCATCCGGGTAAGTAGTTACAGTATTTATATGGGTATAAAAGTAAGGCTCTGTATCTATGGTTATTCCTAAGTATTTAATAGATTCCGCTCTTTGAAGCGGAGGACAATGACAAGCCTTGGCCAGTTCTAAAAAGATGTAAAAAAAAATTTGTTAGTTTTGAAACCACATCTGATGTTTGATTTACCAGAACCAAAACCAAACTGAGAGACTGAAAGAAGAAACATTGGTGAAGAACGCGTTAACCTTGTTTATGCTTCCGTCGGGATCATTTGATGATAATTAACTAACTGTGTGGATCTATAATTGGTTATCTGATTTATGTATTGGTACTGTAAGTTCATTTATGCAACCGTTGTTCTACCATGAAAAATAAAATAAAATAAACATGAAGACTGGTCAGCTCTGTTTTTAAGTAAGGAGGCTTTATTTATTGCTTCCCATAATTTTGGTTTATTAGTAGCAACTTTTTCAATCGCTTCCGAATCTTATTTGTATTTAGCTTTTTTTAAGTGACTTACAACAGTTTCTTTAAAATTTATAAGTGGTTGATTAATACCCCATTTTCTCCCTCTTTTTGAGTTTTTTTTTATGTAACGAGTCTCTATTTCTTAGGTTTATTTATTCTATCCTTATTTTATGTGGTGACTATATGAGAATTAATAACCTGATCAAAATTTATACGTTCAAGCGTAATATCTAAATTATCGTAATCAACACAAACCATGTTTTTTTAAAAACATAGAGGTAAGTCTAAGGTGAGATTTAAGATTACACTTTCATGGTCAGTGATATAAGATTCGACGACGAAACAGGTTGCTTCAAGCTGTATTTTAACTATAATATAGTCGAGACGTGTGACACGAGTGTGTGTGTGATAGAGTATCGAAATACATTAATAGTAAATCTTATACATCAATTATAAGATTTACTATAAAAAAATGGAGATAATTTAAGAATAAATTATCTATGTACTTGATAGGCAATTATTAAATAACATACATACGGTCAGTTGCACAAACGTCCATTAAAGTTTAATGACGCCTTTTAGCTCTAATTTAATATGAGAAAAAAAGATCTGACAGTTATACGTTTACTATGAAGTCATTAACAATATTATCTATACCAATGATACAAGGATATAACCCGAGCGGGGCCTATGATAAGGACTAAATTGTCTTATAGTAATTTATCGGTAATACTATCGGACCGTGACATCATCATAATCAGCTTTTTTACGTCCCCACTGCAAGGGCCTTATGGATAGTTAAGGAGGATGGGCCATGAACATTCACACTCACCCAATGTAGATTGGAGGGTATTAACGACTGCAAATGCAGCCTGCTTAAACGTGCCTACCGGAGCAGCCTGAATTATATATATATTTTTTTTGTAAGAGTTGCTTGACAACGACGATCGCGAGCCGCGGCTCTTACCTACTACGCCATCGAACTACTCAACTCGACGAGTTACATACACATAAAAAAATGCATTTATAAACTATATATGATGAGCAGACCGCTGAATTCATCTCGAGGCTAGGAGGGTGGGATGGGTCGCGTGGTGGGTTCCCGGAAGCTTATCCGCATAAATCCCTACGGTATACCCTCCCCTAGGAATGAAACCTCGGAGTAGCTATTTAAATAAAAAAGACAAATATATATGTGTATTTTAATGGTAAAAAGCAGAATAAAATTCGACGATTTCATAATATTATTACTGCTCATAAATTGTATGCGTTGAATAATACAAAAACTAAAATTGATACTCAACAAGGCCTTGGGATTCAATTTTAATGAAGACGTATTCTTGCTTATCACCTAAGATTATACCGTAAATTATGATATCATAACCTCGGACAATACAGTAATCCAAATCAGCATCTATCAAAACAGGATGCCCAATTTCGTTCGAATAAGAAATTTCTGATAATTCGAGTCATTACTATGTTTTTGATAAAATGTTTATTCGACATTCGGATATTAACCTCATCGTACCGTAAATTTTTATGGATTCGAGTCCAATCTCAGTATGGCAGTGTCTCAAAGTGGATTTTTTAAGCATATTTCATAAAGAATATTTTTCAGTATTATTAGAACAAATTTTCATCTTTATCGAAAGTGTAAATATTTGTAAAAATATTTCTTTCGGCTGTTTGGATGGATTGTCTGAACATTGATGAAAAAAGTAACAAGTGCTTGAAAAATCGTCAGTCCTATTAGGTCCTGGGTAGCTCAGTGATTAAAGCAGTCGCCCATTTGGCGAAAGGTCATGGGTTCGATCCCATCTCAGAGTGCCGGAACAAAGTGAATTTTTTAAGCAATTTTCATTAAGAATATTTGTCAAATATAATTAAAAATGTTAATACAGAATAATATTATAAATGTGAAAGTGTCTTTGTGCGGATGTTTGTACATCAATCACGCCGAAACTATTGAACAGATTTTGATGAAATTTGATATAAAGATAAGGTATTAGCTGACTTAGATAATAGGATACTTTTTATCCACGCAGACGAAGCCGCTGGCGGAAAGTTAGTATATAATATAACTTTTAGAGGAAAAAGCGGGTCTTCAGATTTCAGACTACGAAAAACGATTGAACAATATTAAAATATAAGACGACCTATTGTTTTGATGGCTTTATTTTTGATTCCAGATTAAAGCAATATTCCAATATTGAACTAGCACAATTATAAAATTGGATAGTCCAATTCCACGATTAGAATCACATACCAAATCCTTTATGAACTTGAGATCGTATTTGAAAATCACAAGTAAATAGTGTTGTCCACGTAGAAGATGCATAAAAACAAAAATATATATATATGTAAACACTCACTTTCTTTGGAACTGCAGTACTGGGTTATTATACAAATCTGATGCGTCTATGGTCTTCCCTCTACTCAGAACCTCTTTATTTTTCTTAGTAAGCAACCAACCGACATGCGAGTAAAAAAATCCTCTAGACGCATTGTAAGGGTCTGCATCAGTGTCACAATATTTGTGATGGAGTCTGTGATCTCTAGCCCAATGTATTACGGAGTTTTGGAACGCCATTGAGTTGAAAACCATTAGTATGATTTCCAATGGCAGTTTCGCCTTGTAACTCTTGTGGGACCAGAGTCTGTGTGCACCGGCTGTGATGCCCAGTTCCGCTGCCACGAAGATGACGAATGCTGAGAATGGAAACAAATTATTTTTCAATTTACAACAATTGATTAAATACATATTATTCGAATTTTATTTGGAAACTAGTTGTTTTCCCGCGACTTAACGTCGTCTATTATAGCTTATGTCACCCACGTGCCGTATTTGTGGCGGTCAGTCCTCTCTGCCTACCCAGTAAGGGTGTGAAGATATAGATAAAGGTTACCCCTTCTAATAAAAAAAAACGGAGTTAGATACCTTAACCACCCATAAGGAAAGCCTGAGCCCCTGCAGCGGGTACATAAAAGGGCTGATGATGATGATATCATCAGCCAGCCATTCCGCTTGAAAAGTAACTATAATATGAAGTAATATTTTATTCATTCAGAAAACATGAATGACATTATATAACCTTCGTAGCAGAGTAGTTCGCATGCCGGTTTCAAGGCGTCTCCATCTTTGAGGTCCCGGAGTGAATTCTTGATCGGTTCAATGTAGAAAATGGATTTTCTCGGGTTTGGGTGTTTCGTTACCTTCGTTGTCTCAGATACCCCATAATACGGGAGCTGTAGTAAATTATCACGGAATCTAAGTACGTATCTAAGACAATATCACATATACATTGTATGTGATGTTGTCTAATTTTTTATTTTATTTTAAATATGAAATGAAAATGTTTCATATTTTTCTAAAAATCAAATGCTAAATGACTTTCACAAATAACTCTTCCGTTAGTTTTTCCGGTTTTGACTTTACCACTAATCAGTTACAGAAAAAATAGATATTCAGGTGCTCGAATCTTATACCTGTTCCTAGTTACTCTTTTTAATTTTAACTGCTCCTGATACTCAATTATTTATCTATACTTATATTATAAAGAGGCAAAGTTTCTGACTTTGTTTGTTTGTAGAGAATAATTTCGGAAGTATACCGATCCGATCTTATTATAATTTACGTGAGAAAACTCGCGGGAAAACAGCTAGTATGACAATAAGGCGATAACACAGCACTTACCAAATATTATTGTCGCCCATTTTGCTGATGTGATACACAGGTATAATCCATAAGGTGCTGATAAATGCCAGTAGAGGAAATATATCAAATTTACATACAATATTTTATGTTTGATTTCTGAAAATTTCGGTGGTGACATATCAACTGGTTTCATATCCATACATAGGGCTTTATCGTTTTTTAACGAATTCGGAGCCATTTTTTTACAATAAAATGCACTTCACACCACTGTAGTATCAATAATAGTTTAAATTCGAAGAAATTTAAGTCGCGAAAATTAAATAAAGTTCTTTACAATCATTAAATAATATTTTTAGTGTATCGTTACAAATAAATAAAAAAGGACGTTATTTCCTTTCGGTTATCGGTTTGATATTAACTCAACTTACACTATACAATAAAATTTACTAACTACTTCACGACATAAATGAGATTTAACATATTGTATGTATAAGTGGTGTCTTTGACAGTTTTGGGGACAAACTGAGTCAGTTAAAAACGTTGTGTGTATATATAACCTGTAGTAACTACATGTTATTTTAACTGCCGTACGCGATTCTAAAAAACAACTCTTAATACCTTTGACACTGAGATCTTAAAATTAATTTAACATCACTGTGTTGTTTACACTAAAATATTAACTTTAATGAGTAATAACGACGTCAGTGATATATTAAAGGTACATTGTTTCAGAAATGATTCTCTTACAGTGTTTTGTTTGATTAATAGTTTTATTTATAGCGGTACTTACTTTAAACATTTGGTGATAAACATAATAATAATACTGTGAATACCTGTGGTTGAATTGAATCATAAAAATTGCCCATAACCCACCACGCGGGCTCTGTAAGGATTGGTGGGCTTTAACAACTCTCAATGCAGCTGGGCCCATCGGCCCATCGAGTACGAAATAATAAATTTTTGGTCACCCATCCTAATTACCCATCATTATTATCATGAATCACCCATCATTATTACCGGCCATTGCGAAGGTTGCTTAACAACCGTATCGCAGACCAAGAGCGCTAACCACTGCGCCAACCTCTTTATAGATGGGACCCTATAGATGGGATCAAATGGAGAGGACAGTCTAGAACCCACCACGCGGGCCCAATGCGATTCGGTGAATATTAACGACTGCAGATACTCAAGATCAACCACTTAACGTGCCTACAGAATTATGAAAGCACTTGAGATAGTCAATTTTCATCTCACCCACTGAAATGAACAGTATCTCGTGTTATGAAACCAAACACCACAAGGGATCGTCTCTGGGGAACAAATGTTAAGACTTGTTCTCTCTTCTATCTTCTCAATCGCACATTCCTGGTGTTCGTGGTCTATTCTTAATACAGAATGCTTAAAAAATCCACTTGGTCCCTGGCACCCTGAGATGGGATTGTGAATGCAATTTAATCAAAATATGGTGATCGTGATTTGTTGCGGCTTTTGGGAAACTTCTACATCTATCTCTATTTGTGGCATTACGCGACATTCGCTAAGGGAGCAAAATTTGGACGAGTTAGATCTGTCCATCTTATGAGTCATCGGCCGTGAGTAACCTTCTACTCTTTCCTTGAAAAGTTGATTTTGTAGCCTTACTTTATTCTGCTCTTTGTTTGCTTTATTTATTTCAGATTATGTTTCTACTTTTATAAATGTTGCACTAACCAATTTGCTGAATAGGACGTGTTTTTTTTTGCCTAGGGCTCAAAGTCAAGGGGGGCGAAGGGGCAACTGCCTCTCCGCATTAGAGATACTGAAAAAGTTGTCTATGTAAAGCAACCAAAGTCCTAAGTCTTTGACTTCACTTGCTTGATCGGTCAATCCCATACGTCGAAACTCGAATGAACTTAATTAAAGCGGGAGAAGGGGAGGGGTGATTCAAACCCCCAAATTATTTTTGTTATATTTTTCATACAAATGTAATAATAGCTTATTTACATGTTTTATTCTACAGTCAAGAGCTCGTGTTACTATTCAAGTTGGACTATGTACTGTTGTTATTACAATTACCGTCGTTGTAAGATTCGTACTACGAGTAAAAAGGTTAATGTGCTCTCAACTTTAGCTACAATTCAAACTTAGCTTGTAACAGTGCGTCGTACCAGCGTTTTTTTCGTCATAGGTACGCAAACTTTTTGTCTTTAATCTTCAATTTTTTTTATTTTTATTATACACTTTTCGTAATTTGCAATCTTGAGTAATCCAATATAATCTTTATGAATGTCAGTTCGTGAAAATTTCGACGAGTTAGAAGCATTATACATACCTACTTAATTTCATTGAATAACAATTTATGGTAAAATGTGTTAATTTTTTTAAATTGATTTATTATGCTCATGAATTTGGCCTCAAGAAAAATGTAATAAAGTTAAATTACTGACCAACCCCGAAGAAAAGGGGTTTTTCTGATTTTGTTATTAAGTCAAGTTCTCAAGCTTAGTCAGCCTTTTATTCATTTGCCCAAGCATTGAAACAGCTACAAGCTCATTCTCCATAATCTATTAGCCCCGCTGGATCATCAACTGGCGACGCCCCTGATCCAAAGAAAATTTAAACACTACGTTTGTTACCTCAGCAATAAGGTCGCATGTGTGATTCTGTATTCAGTTTTCTATACTCTAAATAAAATAAAATATTACGAGTAATACGAATTCTGTCAATTTCTATGGATACAAATTTCATTCGCCTCTATTGCTATTTATTTTAAGTAGGCTTTGTGTTTTAGATGACAATGGTAACTAGTCGTCGTATAATATACTAAAGTAATATTATAAAGTACCAAACAACTAAGTAATAGTTAATTATTTCGTTCTGTACAAAATTATCTTTTCAGTCGAAATCAGACTCAATAACTCAAGCAAAACTAATGTATTTAATGTCCAATACTTTTTATTGCACCAAAGAAGTTTTTCCTAACAGGGGTAATTTTTAACCCTTTAAATTAGTTATTCGGTGAGAGTAACTAGGAATTTAATAATTAAGACGAAATTATTGAAAAGGATAATTAAACTTAAAAATAATAAAACATGCGATCACATGCAAATATCAATATATCTTGTGATATCCACCACTCACTTCTTTAATTGTCAGTTATTGAACAAACTTACTAAAATATGGTCATTTTTATGTATAAGGTACATCCTACGGATTTAGAATATCAAAACTGTAACATCGAAATTATTAATTTACCTAATTATATTTGACAAATAACTCATAAATTGGATTATCACTTCAATAACATATCTATATGTTAAGCTTTAATTAATTATAATGGTCTTTACATGTGAAAGAACCAAAATAAATTAAATAAAATATAAATAAAAATATGGTTATCTTCTATACTAATATTGTAAAGAGGAATGATTTGCTTGTTTGTGCTTTTGATTGCATCACCTACGGGTAACTACATCATACGCAGTCGCAGGAAAACAGCTAATGTACAATAAATGCATTGCCTTAGAAAAAAGTCCATGGGCAAATTTTTGGTTTGAGCTCTAACGCTTTGTTTAACAAAGCTCTAACGCTATTTGCACTATGTCGTCATTAGTTGTCGCAGAGTCACATTTTAGTGCTGCGAAATGTGGATTAGGTGCATCGGTATAATTATGCTCAATATTATGTAGTTCGTTTTCTGGGATCACACTGTTTTCGTTTTTATTACAAATGCAATAAGAGATATGTCAAGGGAACTCTTTCGTGAAACGGTTTATACAAACCTGCTTCTCAGTACTACACGTAGAGAAAATGTTATATTTCCTGCAGTTGCATTCAATCCGCTGTACGACACACACGCGGACTGCGCTCGGTAACCATGGAATACCAACACGCGCTCGTCGTTATAACATGTGAGTATTATGTTTTATTGTATTAATAATTGTTTTAATGTTATCAAAATATACCAGATGATATGGAGAACTATTAATCCAAATGTTTCCTATATTAAATAACACTTCTCTAGTTTAGCAAATAATATCATATGTATCGAATACAAAATCTCTCAAATGTTTGTATTAAGAATATTAGTTCTTTTTAAACCGACCGCCGTATGTATTTTTGTTAACTTTTGAATTTAATTAAAAAATGACGTACATTTTGTTCTTTAATATTAGAGCTTAGTAAAGAGTTAACTTCGCATAAAAAGCGAATGAATGACTAAACATAAGCATCTAATAGTGCTATTTATAGATTCAGCCTTGTCGTTCCATTTATGGTTTACAAAAAACTTAAATTCATTGATAACTATATCTTGGCACTATTAAACTTTAAACAGACTAAAGTAACGATTATAAAAGTTAAAAATACATCGCCATCGAATATAAAACCTCTTCTGTTTTTGATTTTGAAGTCGATTAAAACCTCAACCTTCGTTTGAAACATGCCTGAATCGTTAAGTGACTTCGAAATTAATAATTAATTGTATTATGTTAGAAAAAAAATAATAGTCCGTTTATTTCACGTCAGCGGTAATCTTCGTGATTGATAAATGAGTAATTAGTTAGTAACTTTAATGGTGCATCTGGTTCTTGTTAATATCAATAAAACTTATTTGCCGAAATACTATTTTATATATTAACACGATTGTTATCTTCTTGAGTGTTTCTGCCAAATATGTAAATACCTTCGCATGAAAATCATAGATTGCGAATGAAATTCATTTGGAGCACAAATGTCAAAATTATGTATGTCTTTGTTCACTTTACAGTGTGCTATGCAAATAATAAGATGAGAATATGAGATATTGCTCGACATAAACTCGATTCTCACTCGATATTTTTATGTATAAGACCTGTTTTGCTATTCTCTTAAAAGTTCTGTCTAACCAATCGAACATGACATCGAACCCAACTTATAAAACCAACTGCAAAAAGTAATAAAACTCAAATTTTACTTCGAATGCGGTGCCGTGTTCAACGTTGTATTCGACGTTCTATTTTTTACAAAATAATACTGCAGAAGATAAGTACTCACTTGGAAGAGACAGCTATTTTAATGCTTTTATTAATCCCTTAATAAGACATCAACGCGTTACCGTTGTAGAGTATGAGAATAAAACTAATTCAAAATTTAAACTTATGTTTTTTAAAACAAGGTATTGTTGTTGTTATTTTGTACCATAAATATTGTACACGTTTGAAACGTTTATCAAACGAGTCAAAACTCAACAGGATGACCTTCGAGTTCCATCATTATTATCTGAATATATATATATAATATATCTCGGAACAAAAAAAAACTTTGCCAAAATAAGTCAAAGGAGCCCAAATTTGATGGGTTTTCTTCGTTTAATTACAAACACCTGTCTGGAAGTCACAATATATCTTTCTCCAGTAGATTCAAACTCTACCCTCAAAGCATTAAAGTTGAAAATCAAGTGGAGAAATGTGACAAATTTCTATAACCTGGTGTGCTGTTAACTGTATAATGACTACCTTTAGGTTCCACCATCAAATAAACTTCATTACATTGATCTTGTATAGACAAATCAAACGAGGGTAACTCGATTGGATTGCTTTGTTTAATTGCAGATGCCCCGTGGCCAGCATAAGATCGGCGCCATTATATGTGTTATATTTTAAATGTCAAATTTGACATAGAACATAACTTTAACTATACTTATTCAGAGCTTTAACTGCTATTATGATGCAATCCAGCCTTAATCGCCAAACTATTTATCTATTTATTTAGCAGTGCCACTAAACGTCAAAGAATCAATTAACTTAATCTAAATAATATAAAAAATAAAAATAAATTACTTTAGTTTATAAAATATGTTTTATCAAATACAAATTTTAACAAATTAAGTATTTCCGATCGCTGAACGAAGATTCACTGGCCCTTTTATTCACGCGAATTAACATATGTAGGCCGCAATGATGTAATGCCAAAAATTCAGTAAAAATTTATTAAAAGAGTGTACATCAACGATTAACAAATTTAATTGGACTTAAGCATCATTATCTAAACGTTTATATATATTTGATTATGTTTGTAAGTATATTCCAAAGTATTACATAACAGTAAATAATAGGCTTATAATCGATTATGTACTTGACCACTTTGAACTAATACCAAAATGTAACCTAACAGTGAAAGTGGTCGGATCCCACGGACCAATGAATGCGTTTTAATAATACATTCCCACATTGTATAATGTTTGTAGAGCGTGCGAGTTAATCAATGAAACGACGATCTGGTTCCTATACTATATTAAGGTGAAGCTAATTTTATTTAATATATGTAGTTATTTTTATTATTAACGCAAACCAATGATGGGTCGCCAGCGAGGAACAGACTATAATTTACGGAAGCGGAGTCGCTGGGAAACAGCTAGTTTGTTAGACGTTGGTTCCCAATTCAAGAAGAAATCGTTGAACATATCTACATATAGATATACTGATGAAGATTTATAGGCCATGACCCTCCACGTTGACCTGAATGAATGAAATTTCGAAGGTATTACAGACTGCAAATGCAGCCGGGACTAACGACTTAACGTGCCTTCCAAAACATGGAGTAGCTCGAAATAATAATTTTTTTTGTTACCCAACCCATGACCGACCCTTGCGAAAGTTGCTTAGTGACAAAGATCATAAGCCGCGGCGCTTATCCATTTACTCCATCGAGCTACTATTCATTCATTCATTAATAGCATGTATAAAAAATATATACATTTAAAGGGGATTAGTTGCATGTAATTTATATATTATATTAAATAACAAAAAGGTACGACAAGCTAATTAAAATTAAGAAGCTTATCACATAAGCGAATTAATTTGTTATTTTCAGCGTCCAACCGTCAAAATCTTAAGATAAAACTTTAAAAATATATATTTGACAAATTACTTATCTGAGAAAAAAGATCCTATATCCAAGTCCCAAATACATTTAAGGGGCGAGGTTCTTGACCGTCACTGCACGTTCACGAAATCCTTGAAAACCTGTTTCAATATACCATCGCAAATACCAGTAGCAATGCAACTTGTTATGAGTGCCAAAAAATTATCCATTTCTTTTTCCACCTACTCTCTCTTTTTTATAGTACTTATATTATAAAAAGAACGTTTTTTTGCTGACATTTAGTTACTACACACGTACACGTTACAGAGATTACTTTGCAATAGTAAGAAACAAAAGACATTTATGATCGTTTTCTATTTATTTATTAATTCTATACCTATGTGGAGCAAAATATTAACCTACAAACGAATTCTTCAACGCTATCTATTAATTGTCTAATTTAATACTATACTTCTTTTCAGTGTTACAACTATGTCGAGCAGAAATATCGGAAATATTACCAGGAACATGGTTCTCTGCAAACACCATTAACGATGGTTACTCACCGAAACCAATATCAGAACTCTTTTCTACGGAAATGCCTCCCAGCTTCTCGCCGGAAAATCCAATAGTTGTGCTACCGAATTTATCATCTCTGTCGCCGCAACCAGAAGTGACATATATTTCTACAACGCCAGCAACTTTCAACTCGTTTGTGACTAATACTCCAATAGCACCTAGCACTTATTCAAGTACACAAGTTACCTCAACTCCATCTCCATTAGATTTTTCTAAACCGTCATCGCTAGCTCCACAGTGGCCAACCAGCACTACAGTCTTACAAACTCAAACAAACAGACCTATCCAAACACTCCAAGAGACTCTAGCGACATCTCCTCTTCTACCTCAGACCCAACCTACAGGCCCTCCAAGCTTCTCATTGATATACGAAAATACTCCATCGCCAGACCCACCTATTCCAACTGTTGTCACTACTATCCCTACCTTATCCACAACTACCACTTCACCATTGTCTTCGATTTCTGAGGGTACTCTAACGCCTTATATAACAAATGGATTATCAGATACAACAAGCCGCCCGACTGTTACGTTCCGATCTACACCACCAAGCACGACTTCACGAACCACAATAATCGCTCGTGATTGTAATCCAACCACGAGACTCATAAATCCTGTGTCTACAACCATAGCACCTACACGGATCATATCTGGTTCACCAGATGTACCATTTAAACCTAATTTGAGAATACGAGTAGTTGCACCACAAGGTTCCATTACCAACGTAAAGATCAACCCCACGACGACAACAAAACGTCCCACCACAAAGAGGACGAAAAAGCCTAAGAAAAATACATATGAAGGTTGCTTAGATGGATGTAAAGGAAAGAGAGATCCAATATGTGCAGTTCCACTAGCGAGCGTTATAATAGATACGAAGACTCTGAAAGGATTTCCATCTATATGTCATTTGGCGTGCCATAACTCATATAAAAAAGACGGTAAGTTAATCTGATATATCTTTTATGTTTGATGAAGTCTGAGGTAGGTTCCTATGAATAGAAATTAGTAGAACAATACGAGTAAAATACTACATAGGGCAGAACAGGCTCTGTCGGAATCAAAATCAAAATTATTTATTCAATCGGCTGTTACAAGCACTTGTGAAAGTCGAGGGATAGCTAGTTATATATCCTATTAATATTATAAAGGCGAAAGTTTGTAAGTATGGATGTATGGATGTTTGTTACTCTTTCACGAAAAAACTACTGGACGGATTTGGATAAAACTTTACAGCAATATAGGTTATACATCAGAATAACACATAGGGTACTTTTTACTGGGAAAACTTCTCACTCCCACGGGATACCGACTTCCACGCGGACGAAGTCGCGGGCGTCCACTAGTAATTAATATTATAAAGGCGAAAGTTTGTAAGTATGGATGTATGGATGTTTGTTACTCTTTCACGAAAAAACTACTGGACGGATTTGGATAAAACTTTACAGCAATATAGGTTATACATCAGAATAACACATAGGGTACTTTTTACTGGGAAAACTTCTCACTCCCACGGGATACCGACTTCCACGCGGACGAAGTCGCGGGCGTCCACTAGTTAAATATAAAAGTAGCTAAAGCTTTTGTGTTATTAAATTCTGAACTTACGAACGTCCCACAACCATTCGGACTGGACACAATATAAAAAGGATTTCTGATATTGAGCCAACCGGGAATTCATCAGCGGAGTCCTCATATTGTTATTCTAGTCATTTTTCCTAAGCGTCTATTTTGTAGAAAAATAAATATGTCAAACTATTATGTTAAACTTCTTTTTCTTTTTTGTGATATAAACATAAAACTGTTTAGGTATATATAAGTAAATATTATTAGAAACTAGAAAACGCATTTAATATAATTCAACTGCTTTTGTAACACTGCATTTTGATTTGTAAACATGTATTAGGCAAAGTTATGAAATGGAAACTAGAAACATTTAGACAGCTTGATATAATGAAAACTTACGAAAATGCCTATTTACTACTTGATTAATTGAATGTTCGCTAAAAGAAATAGAGCGGAAAACTCGTATTTACTACGTATTCATTAAACAATTTTGGTGAACTACGCAAAATATTATTTAAAAAATACAGCTAACCAATATTTAAACTTGATTGAATAATAAGTACTTTAATATTTAACTAATTTTACACAACATCATCAATTCTTTTCAATTCATATTATTTTAATTATAACGTTATATTCATATTAACAAGAAGCTCAAACTATTATATAGGTCGTAGCACAGATAATAATGTATAAAATTAGTCTATGAAAATGCGAACGACACTTCCGCTCTACGCATTATTCGCAGGAAGTGAAGCAACGTTTACAAATATTTGTATATACATTAAGTAGCTCTACGACCGGAATACAAATACACAGCGAGAAAAACAAATAGTATGCAAAAGGCGGCCTTATTGCTAGATCTTCTAATCTCTTTTAACAACCTATCAAGTACTTCTCGTCTTCTATTCTCTCTTAGATTTTCAATTAATTGTTGACTCTTCAAGCCCCTAATTTAACAGTCTGTTGCCAAATAGAGTCAAATAGCCAAGTGACATTATTTTGAATGGCTCAAGTACAAGAAGTACCTAAATATTCTCAAAGACAATTGAAAAAATATATAGCACTGCTGGGCTGACGTCAGTCATCGTGTCTATATCTTAAACTATGTAATTTTGCTATTTGTCCGTATTTCGTAATGGACAGATAAATTAACGACTCAATGAGGCACGATTATTATTCAAAATCTATTAGGTTGGCGCTACGAAACTAACAAACATCATTCAAACAATCAGAGTTACTTTACTTTTAGAAACTTTACCCAAGTGAATATTTAAATCCTCAAAAAAAAAACAATTAAATTCTCAAGTTTACAAGCATATTTCTCGTCTGCTCACGATCAACTGCAAAGTTCAATTAGTTTTTTCCTAGTGTTAATTGACCAGAAAAATTGCATGGAAATAACAAGTTGAACAACATTAAATCTCATAATGCTTAATTCCTTTGCATGACCAAATAATTTACAAGAATTATTACATAAGTAGATTCTATCAACAATACAACAAGAGTATGTAAAGTTTTGTCGTGTAGTGGCTGGCAGCACTACACTCTTTGAATTTTTGAGTAATTTATTCCACTTCATGGTACCTTACAGCGGTGAAAATGTACTCGATATATGTCAAAAGTTCAATGTTTTATGTATTCATGCTCAAATATCTTGACCTTTTAAAATAATGACACGCGGTTTCAGAATAGAGTATTTTAATTTGAGAACATCTCATAATGTACTTAAAAGTAAAACAGATTTTCGTTTCTGGTTGTAATTTTTTTATGATCAGTTTATAGAAGTTTGATAAAACTAGGTATTTTTTGACTTGTGAAACATAAAAAAACTTAAGATATTGAGAATAATCAGTTATATACTTTTCTCAATTCAGAAATCAGTTTTAAACTTCTAGAATAGTATAGTTTAGAAGATATACCGTGCCGCTGCCAAACTGATGATAGCCTAGCAGAGCCACATTATTAATTTATAATCTAAGGATGTTACCTACGGATTAAAAAATAACCTAGGTTTTTATTTTAAAAAGTATCTTATTTATCTCCGAAACTACGTAACTCAAGAATTCATTTCGAAATCGAAGTCTGGCGTTGTCTGTCTAAAACAAATACAGTTTTGTCTCGTATGTTGTTTATTACAACTAATGCTATTTTTCTCACAGCGGCTTAACTCAAAAATATAGCCAATATAACGAGTAACATTATTTTCCTGAATAAACTACCGGTATTATCAACAGAGCGACCGCCTTAATCTCCTTCTAGCCATAGGATAGGACATCTTAGGGATTTCATGACGATATTACATTTCATGTTACTACTTTGACATGTCGTTTAGTAGATAAATTAGGCATAAATGACTAAGCAATACTGCTATCAAATCCATGATCATAATTTTTTATCATTCATGCGTCGTTACTTCAGTTCCATTAGCACTGCAGTCTTTAACACACACATACTTAAGGAAGGGTTGTATCCTAGCAATGGTAATAATAAGCTGAAAATGATTCTTCTTCTTCTAAAGGTGCCTCTCCAACTAGTGAAGGTTAGCGATTAGCATGTTCAGGTCCTTCTTGTCTTTAGCTCGGCGGAACAGCTCAGCAGCGCTTCGCTATCCCGGTCCACTCTCGGATGTTCCGCAACCACGACTTCTTCCTTCCTCCGACCTTTCTCTTTCCCGCAACTTTGCCCATCATGATCAGCTGCAGGAGATCATATCTCTGATGTCTAAGAACATGGCCTAAATACGAGACTTTACGCCGTTTAACAGTTGCCATAAGCGTGCGTTTTTGGCCAACTCGTTGGAGAACTCGGACATTGGTCACCTTCTCGGTCCAGCTTATAGAGAGCATGCGCCTATAAGTCCACATCTCGAAAGCTTCTATGCGTTTTCGTAGATCTTCTCTTAAGGGTCCATGCCTCACATCCATATAATACCAGGGGCCAGATATAACAATGGAGCAAACGAGTTCGTAAAGAGATGTTAATATTACGATTACAGAGGACTTTCTTCATCGAATTGAAGGCATTACGAGCTATTTCGATCCGAGTTTTTATCTCTAACTCGCTGCTCCAATCCTCATTCAGCCATGTGCCCAAATATTTATATTACTTGACCCTTTCTAGGTTTTGGCCGGATACTCTTACGCTGGCATTGCAGTCTGCTTTTCCGGAGACGACTATAAATTTCGTCTTCTTTAAGTTCATCGAAAGACCGGCTCCCTGACTGCATTCCTCTAATCTCTCAACCATTATTTGAAGATCAGCTGATGTGGACGTTATTAAGACTGTGTCGTCCGCGTAACGAAGGTTATTAATATTACGGCCGTTGATCTTCACTCCACAGTCGAGGTCCAGCAACGCTTCCATTATTATAGCTTCAGAGTATATGTTGAAAAGAATAGGTGATAGAATACAGCCCTGTCTAACCCCTCTTTGGATAACAACTTCATTGGTTTCATCCCGTCCCACTCTCACAGTGGCCACTTGACCACGATACAGGCCCTGAATAAATCTGCGATCTTTGTCATCGATACCTACTTCTTTTAATAGGTCTAGCAAACGATCATGAAGAATTTGAATGGTAAAATTTGATGGTAAATTTTATAATCTAGTAATTTCATTGAGGGGGTTAATATCGAGGGGATTATTAAGTAACTCGCGATGATACTAAGTAAACTACTGATGATTATTCCATCTAGAGACCTAACTCGGCTCAAAGCTACATATGCTTTTTTTTACCAAAAATAATTGTTCTTCGCCACGGCCCGCGATCGTTGTTGTTAATCAACTTTCGCAAGGGTCGGTCACGGGATGGGTGACCAAAAAATTATTACTCGAGCTACTCCGTGCCTCGGAAGGCACGTTAAGTTGGTCTCGGCTGCATTTGCAGTCGTTAATACCCTCCAATCCGCATTGGGCCAGCGTGGAGGTTCATGGCCCATCCTCCTTAGACATCCATAAGGAAGGCATGAGCCCCTGCAGTGGGGACGTAAAAGGGCTGATGATGATGATGATTTGTTATTCATGCTTTTTCACTGTTTTTTTTTTATTGTAAATTGTTTATACTTTAAATAAAAACTTAAATCAATAAGTAAGAAAATTAGCGAGAATGTTTTGTTAAACAACTTTAAATCATTATATATCGTAAACTATTATAAATAAATTTAAATTTAAATTTAAAATGAAAAATAGTAAAAGGAACCTAAAGATCATTTTAAAATATGTACCTATACAACGACACCCCACTTGACATAGTTAATCGATTTTTTTTTTCATTTTGACAATATGGCGTCTGGTTGTCGCTGTGGTGAATTTTGATTACTGTCATGTCTTTAGTGACACTCGCAAGGTTAAGTTGAATCGATTGACGAGATCATCGCCATCTTTCATTCGTTTCATTTTCATTTTACATGTAGAAATTTATTTATTCATTGAGATTGGCAGAATTGTGCGAAATGCGCAGATAAGCCATTAATAAAAGAAGAAGAATCGATTGACGTAAGAATCATCAAAATCGGTCTACGCATTTGGGCTTTAGAACGCCACATAGAAACAAACATACATACATAGACTGATAAACACATTCCCATCCTTTACGTCGCGCAGTCGGGTAAAAAATGGTCACCTAATTTTCTTTCCAAATTTCAGCTTACGAAAAACTCATTGACGGTCGATGCGGCCGGCTGCGTACGCGAATCATCACAGTCGACAACAACAGCAAGATACAACGGGAAGATCTGAAGAAAGCAGAATATAGCGTCATCAACACAGGACCCAAGACTGTGCTTGAATTTGCGCATCAGCCATTAAATAAGGATTAATTCCGAGTAGATACGATTTTAGGTGTTATTTGAATATTAGAATGTAAGACTAACGAATGATAAATGAAAATTAAATTCAACAAGTTGATTTTCTGATCAATTGTTTGATCATAAAACATAATTTTGAGATAGTGAAATGGAACTCAAATTATTGCCAATTCATATTGAATTTTAGTTAGTTTGCTAAACTTAATTGCATGAAGTGACACGATACCCAACAATAAGGTGGTAGGATCAAGCCCGTCTTTGCAACACACCCGATGATCATCGGGAAATTCCTGTTGTGCTTAAGACGGGCCTGGGTCAGGATTATGCGTCATTTTGTAACTAAGATATTGCCATGTTTAATATACCTACCACCTAGCGCAGAAAAACTATAATTGTTTTCTGGAAAAAAAAAAAATTCTCACTACATCTCGCAATCTTCAAAATAAAAAAATTACGAGGTTTAGCATAATTATTGTTTTTCCTAAATACTTACTTAAGCTCAAGTGGTTTGAAAAGTCATTCGATCGTCTCAAGTGCTCGTTGCTTTCACTGATACACCCGTATCTATAGGCAGTCGAGTAAATGTAATTCCCCAGAGCTCTCTAATGTTGACTGGAAGAAAACGCCTAAGGTATTAAGTCCGCCAATGTACAGTTTTTGTGCATAAACGATTAAATTCAATTACCTACTTTAGTAAAGGTAATTGCTAATGCAAATATTTTAACAAATATGAATTTAAATGATGTAAGAACTTCTAATACTAAGAATATTATTATTATTAGATATTCTCATTCAAATGCTGGTAATGTAGTTAAAAATATCTGATTTAGATACGCCATTTACTCAATTACCTAATTAGCTCTCTCGACTACAAAGAGTGTAACAATCCTACCATAGTCATACATCATTCAAATGAGGTATTTGACTAAACTTGAAAAATAGTTTTAAATTGTTCTTTATTCCATAATAAGCACATTTTATTAATATTTCGGGGAAATTTACTGTATTTATCAATAAAAATCAAAGTTAAAGTTTAAATTTCTGAAACCGCGCGAAAAATGCTGTTTTTGTCATACATACGCCGTCATTACGCTGCGTCACACGCTAGTAAATAAACAAACATCATACTAAATTCGTCAACAGGCAGGCATATTTACTAGCGTGTGACGTCATCGGAGTTGCAACCATTTACAGGGTGTTTTCGTCTCAGATAAAATGTTAAAATAAATTAAATATTTAGTTTAAAATAAAAATAAATTACTCTATTATCTTAAAGAATGATCACAATTTTCAATATATTTTTAATGTTATCAAATAACCTATTCTCGTTTATTTGTTAAGAATACTTACATAAATTATGACATATTCTCCAGTAATTACTTTTCTCGACTATAGATTATAAACGCTGCGCTGTTAAGCATCGCAAATATATATCAACTTTCTATTATGAGAAAATGTGATGATAAATGCTATTTTCGAGATAATTACCTTATCAAGTATTTTTCATCTAATCAAATATCAGTTTAGCATTTTAAATTTTAATTAAAACTTACGATAGAAATATGAAATACGAAATCGAATACCTACTTCAAAAAGAAGAGTATAATAAAAAACCAATTCTAATTATTAAATGTAAACGCTTTAGTAATGAATCCACTTATGTTGTTTTAACTCCGCCTAATTTTTTATTAACCTTCAAATGATGTTAATTAATAATTAAAATCTTAGCTAGTTTCTTTTTATTGTAATTAATCCTATTTTAACCCATTTGTGAAAAGACTGTTCTTATTATACGACTTTGAAGTTGTTTAATTAGTATTAAAAGAAAAGAAAATCATAAAAATAAATATATACTTCTGAAAGTGTAATATTTTACTTTGTTTTTCCTTTAGTTTATTATTTCTGCATTTTGCTGTTCTAAATTCTATGTAGGTATTTTGTAAAATATTTTTAACCAATTGGCTTTAAATAAGTATTTTTAAATACTAAATGAAACAGTTGGTCTTTAAAAACAAAAATTGTTTCATTGAAAAAAATTGTTAAAAATTAAAAATTATATTGAAAATTCATGTTATTACATAAATATCTTTATTAAATTAAACTTATTTCTAACGACAATATTATTCTATATTTACAGTTTCAGTTCATTTTAAACTCATAAAATAAGGAATGCAAAAACTACAAAGCAGTTTTTATCTAATATCTTTGCTGAAAATTGCCTTGTTGTTGAGAATTGCCACCTTGCTGTTGTCCACCAAACATCATTTGTTGCTGTTGATGGAATTCTTGTTGGCCACCGGTTGTGTTGTTATTGCCTTGATTTGGTCCTATGAACAAAAAGAACATTAATTTACATAGGTATATCTTAATATGGCGTTCGTTTTATCATTTACGGGTGAATAGAATGTTTTGTTATGAATAGATTGGATAAATAAGATGTCATTTAATTGTCTGCGATCATATAGAACTCGATGGCGCTGATGCCGTTGTTAAGCAACTATCGCTATGGCCGGTTACCGGATGGGTGACCAAATATTTTTTATCAATCCGCAGTGCACCCGCGTGGTGAGTCATGGACCGTTCTCATTCGATTCCATCCATAGGGAAGACCTGAGCTCCAGCAACGGCGTATAACGAAGAAGACAAGTCAGTCGGCTTAGCTAGCATCATCGCGAGAGTACAGCAACGCGACGGGCGGCACTTTATTTTTCGTTTTATTTTAATTATGTTTTAAATTATTACAATTAGACCAACAGCAGCCTGTGACAATTAAAATTACTTAAGAGGTGACATCTGCAGATAACGCTGTCTCGCACATAAAGTATAGAAAAGCATTGGTCCTTATATTGAACCTCGGGGTAAGCACAGATTTCGCTGCATTAAATGACAACTTTTAAAATTCTAGTAGAAAAATGTGTTTCATGGCTAACGCAGTCGAATACCAACAGCTTAGAAAGAAATCTGATTGTATCCTGGTTGCTGCCCCAATCACAAATATATCTTTATTAAGAACAAATTAAGAACAATTACTTAAACATGGAGAAAAATTGCAAGAAATGCGTTTTAATTATAAGAAATCGTGCTTTTTTAACCTGTTCTACCTGCTCATATGATTATCATTTAGAATGTGCAAATGTCTCCGACAAAAGATTTTATTTAATGACGAAAGAACATAAGGCTAACTGGAAATGTGATAAATGTTGGTCAAAAACTGATGAAAAATTTAATATAAACATATCAACACAAAACTCGTTTGTATCACTATCAGATGATGACTACACTGATATATTTTCAACATCACATAACAGTCAAACTACTAGTAACACCGACTGCAACCTAACAAAAACAAGCTATATTGAACAGAAGATGCAAAAATTGATTAAAGAAAATCATGTATTAAAAGAAAAATTACAAATTGCAGAGAATGAATTGGAAAACATCATGATTGAGAACACTAAATTGCAAACACTTTTATCTACCCAAAACTCACACCAGTCAACTAAAGTTTGTAGTTCTAGCTCAAAAAATATCACAATAAGAAAAAACAGGAAAGACCTTGCTAAGAAGACTTTATGCTTTCCGCTGTGTGAAGAAAATAAAGTTGACAATAATCTATCACCTTGCGTAACGCCATCTAGAGTTGAGCAGGTAAATCACTTTGACTCGAGTACTCCGAACCAAAGGATCGAATGTAAATCGCCAACCGACCTGTCACGTGGACAACCACAAAAACATGAAGATTTCAAATCAAATCGAACCATTCATATAATTGGCGATGAACAAGTACGAGGATTGACAGAAGAATTGGTAAAAACTAGATATGGAAAATGGAATGACATATTTAAGGTATCAGGTATAGTGAAACCATTTGCTCCAAGCTCCGAAATATTAAAAAGTGTCGAGAACTTGAGTACTTATTTAACGGAGGATGACATTTTGATTTTATCTATAGGAAGTAATGATAATAATCCATATGAAATAATTTCAAATCTGTGTAATACATTGTGTAATTTAAAAAAATGTAAAATTTTCTTGTTAAGTGTACAATATAATAATCACCTAAATATTCATAAATTAAATTCAAAAATTGATCTTATTGTAAGAAATTATGATAACTGACATTTCATAAAGACTGATCAATTGTTGAAATCCTATATATTTAAAAAAAAGACATCAATAATTCAAAAAATTAGTTTTAAATTAAATATAGAAATAAATTTCCTTAAATATAAGCAAAAGTTCCTAAACAATATTGTTAAAATAAGTAATGATTTAAAATATAGAAACAATTGTGTTGTAAAAAATACTTTATTAAATAGTCAAAATCAACCTAAAATTATAAAAAAAGGCACAATACCATATTATTTTGGTCTCAAACAAAAAGATAGTAACACAAATGAAATTCCTGAACAATCATCAATTTGTTTTCGCCCCTAAGGATAAAAGGAATCATTGCTTCACAGTTTTCCATCAAAATATTCAGGGTTTAGTTTCTAAAAAGGAGTTGATAGAAATAACTCTTTCAGAAATCCAAAGCGATATATCTCCTGACGTTCTTTGTTTTACAGAAACATTTGTAAGGAGTGGTGAAGAGCTAAACATTAATATATTAAACTTTGAGCTTGCTGCACATTTTTCTAGAAATAAAAAAAGAGGAGGTTCTTGTATATTGGTAAAAAAAGGTCTCTCATTTAAGAAAATAAATATTTGTAGTGATGTTGCAACTTGTTTTCACTTTGAGTGCTGCTCTATTGCTATACCTTTGCATGGTTTAATAATCATTTGTGTTTATCGGTCATCAACTGCTACTAAAATACGACATTTTGAGTATTTTTTTGACAAGCTTGAACGATTATTGAATAGGTATATTCACAAATACCCGAAACAAAGAATAGTTATCACAGGTGACATCAACATTAATACTTTAATAAATAGTACAGAAACCAGACACCTGATGGATATTTTAAAAAATTATAATTTATCGCAACATATTACAGTACCTACCAGAGGTCTATCATGTATTGATCACATATTTAGTAATGTGAGAGGTGCTATAGGGTCAACACTTCCATTGTATTTGTCTGATCATGATACGACTCAAGTTTTAGTATTTAACACAAATAAAAAGATTATTACTCCAAAAGTAACATATATTTATAAAAGATGTTATTCTAAAGAATATATTGAAAAATTTAAAACTTATTTATCAAGTTTTTCTTTTTCAGAGGTATATGATGAATGTCACCCAAATATGGCATTTAATAAGTTTTATGATATGTTCTGTTTGTTATATAAGCTCTGCTTTCCAATATACAAGGTCAAAATAAATACTAAATCAAATTAAATTGGATTACAAAAGGAATTAGAAAAAGCTGTGTGATTAACAGAGTACTGCGATATAATTATTACAAAAAGAAAAATGAATTTAATAAAAACAAATATCTTAACTATTCTAAATTATTAAAAAAATGTATAATACAAGCTAAAAAACAAACCAATAATAACTACATTATTAATAGTAAAAATACGTGCAAAGCAACATGGAGAGTTATTCAGGATGAAATTGTTGCACAGACTCAACATAGTAACTCTTATATAGATTCAGTTGTATATAATAACAATATTATTAGTAGTCCTAGAACAATCGCAACTGTATTTAATGATTTTTTTATTGAATTGACAAATAAATCAAATGCTAGTATTAAGTATGAACCCACTAATGACATCTTGAATAATTCTATTTATCTTAATCCTATTGACAAACATGATATTGGTAAAATTATTAATTCGTTAAATAATACTACTTCTGAAGGTTATGACAATGTATGCACTAAAGTTTTAAAAGAATGTAAAGACCAAGTAAGTCCAATCTTGGCATATTTAATAAATCTTTCAATGGTATCCGGTACATTTCCAGATAAACTAAAAGTGTCTGTAGTTAAGCCAATACTTAAAAGGGATAATAAAACAATTCTAAATAACTATCGACCAATTACATTAGTACCTATCTTCTCAAAAGTTTATGAAAAGGTTATGTATGATAAACTCACATCATTTTTTAATAAATACCAGATTTTAAAGTCCAATCAATATGGTTTTCAAAAGAAAAAATCGACTACTCAAGCTGTTTTTGATTTAATTAATACAACACTGCTATCAGTAAATGACAACAAATATACAACGGCTCTCTTTTTTGATATGACTAAGGCATTCGATTTTGTAGAACATAATCAACTTTTAATAAATCTCGAGCACTGTGGCATTAGAGGCATAGCTTTAAAATGGATAAAAACTTACTTAGAAAATAGGATCCAATCTGTGGAAGTTTCTAGGTTGGATACTTATAATGTAGCACAAAAATATAATTCTGATTTCAAGGAAAACAAGTTCGGAGTTCCCCAAGGCAGTGTTTTGGGCCCGCTGTTGTTCCTGATTTACATTAATAACCTCCCTAATGTTACAGAACATCAATGCGTTCTATTTGCTGATGATATATCAGTAATTGTTACAACGGATGGCACGTTAACGTTTGATGATCACAAAAATGATATTAAAACAACAATGGTATCTATAATTGATTGGCTCAGAAATAAAAATTTAGTTATTAACTTAGAAAAAACATATTTAATAAATTTTAATAACATTCATCCAATAATTAATATAAATTATGAACAGCAAATAATTACAAATGTCGTTTCCACAAAATTCTTAGGTATAGTAATTGATCAAAGACTGGATTGGAAAAATCAGGTAGAAAAAGTTTGCAGTAAAATTAACCGATTTTCATTTGCTCTTCATAAATTATCTAAGATAGCTACTAGGGGTACAGCTCTTACTGCGTACTTCGCTTATGTAGAATCCGTTCTTAGATACGGGCTTATCATATGGGGTAACAGTACAGATATTAAAAAAGCCTTTGTTGCTCAAAAAAAATGTATTAGGGCGATTTGTGGTGCTGTACCTGATGAACCGTGCAAACCTCTCTTTAAATCTTTAAATGTTTTAACCTTACCTTGTTTATACATTTTTGAAGTCGCTAAATTCGTAAAACAAAATATGTGTCACTTTAAACAGGCAAAAAATGTATATATACGCAATACCAGAAATTGTGATAGATTGGTTACTGATATCACTCCAAGAAGCGCGAGATTCCAGAATAACTGTTATTGGATGTGTATTGTGCTTTTTAATAATATCCCCCTTAGCATTAAGAATCTTTCATTTAATAGCTTTAAAAAGGCACTATTTATTTGGTTGTGTGATAATGCTTTTTATAGTGTTAGGGAATATTTAAATCATACAAATAAGTAACGAATGCATATGTTGTGAATTGTGTAATGTCTTTAAATGTGTGATATTTTCGTTTGTTTGTTTTTTTTTTTTTTTTCTCTTCAATTGGACATTATCTACTTTTATATTGACACTGATTTTATAATTTAATTTGTTTGACATTCTTCAAGTGGGAATAATTATTGTACTCTTTAATAGTTTTTATGTAACAATGATATTTCTAATTTAATAATTTTGTCATACATATATCCAATGTCATTTTATCAATATTTGCATGCTATAGTTGATGGCTAAATGGGCTGAACTCAAATTTTAATTCAATCTACAATGTACCTCATTTAAAAGCAAATAAATTATTATTATTATTATTTATTAATTCATAAACATATCTGTAATTCAGCTTCTGTAACACATTATTTCCTAGTAAAACAAAATCGATTGAAATTATATAAAATCAAATGTGACACCTATTAAACCATTTTCATCGAACTATGAAATCGTATCATTATAGCACGGTCGCCGAACAGAACCTATTTCGTGCAATGACCGGGTTCATTAGTTATCTCTTTCACTCATGTGCAAATATATTGCTATTGCGCTCGCACAGATGCAGGCAGTCAATTTTGTCAAGTTAAGTGAACCTAAAATGTTTACGATATCTCTAAATTCATAGTAAAAGTCCCGGAGCTAGAACCTTCTCTAAATAACGTCTGCCTGAAGTTATTTGAAAATAGAAAGTATAGATAGCAAAAAATGCAAGAAATAAAATATTTAATATTTATGAATAATCCCCAAAGTATGGTTAAAATATCGTAATAACTTTTAGTTTGTTAATTTATTGCATTATTTTTCGGAAAAGGTTATTTTATATGTTAACATCGAGGTATGTGGGAGATAAAAAAGTATGAAAAAAAAAACATCTACTTTGTAATAACACGAAAACAAACGGAAAGGACAATTTTGTAAACCATAGCCAAAAGTAATAATGAAGTGAGAGAATAATAATAGCTTTTGCTATTTTAGTCAACCATAACAAGTAACAAAAAACTTAACAATAACAATCAAAAACAACCAACCCAACTCAATAAGTACTCGTCAACCAGTGTTTATTTGCTAACGGTACTGATTGTTAAACGCAATTACGTCACCAAAATGGCGGCCTGGTGCATCAGCAATTTTCGGGGATTATAACAGGATACACGTTTAGTAATAATAATGTAAGTGTGAATCTTTTACCAGCCATCCGCATTCTTTTCGCATTGTTGGCTCCGTGATCATGGCTGTTTGCTTGTACTTGATTTTGTTGAGTCTGAAAAGAAAATTAAATTGTTTTATTTTAATGCTAGGTTTCGGCCAGCAACTACACTTGCGTTGTCCTGTATCATAGATATAAACATTACTTTTGAATGACTCTGTATATTGATGAAAACTGCACTACAATCCGTTGTGTAGTTCAAAAGATCTCTGCGTACAGACAGCGGGAAGCGACTTTGCTATATACTATGTAAACACATAAATAAATGCTTCCGTCCTAATATAAAAGGACCAAGTTTAGAATCAGATTGTAACTATTATACACCTAATATAAGTTAACATATCTGAATTGGAATAATAACATGATATTTATTAAAAAGTCCCTAGTTACATACATTAGGTTGTTGCTGCTGCTGTTGTTGATTCTGTCTAGCTTTTGAATCGCTTTTATCTTCCTGGTCATCATCCGTCAAGAACTCTCTCTTAGGATACGGTATCGGACATCCGGCAAACACATCCTGTATAAGAAATATAAATAATACGTATTCTTTGATACTGTTAGTATTAGCCTATTTCATTTCATATGTCGAATATTAATTTATGTAGAAACTAACAATTCCGTTCCACAAATGCTACAAACTATGCTTAATTTAGGTACACTTTTGTCTAACTGCATTTAAAAAAAATAAAGTTACGTAACATTTCAAGTTTAATTTAGGAGAGTGGTATAATGGAATCAACACTATTAACACTAGTGATGCGTCTAGAATTGGATTGAGTGACTCGAGTCACTCAAGCCATTTATCGTATTCATCTACCTCACTTGAATCATACTCGAGTTAAAATCTTTCTTTTAGTAATTTAAAACAAATACCTATAAGTAATACAGATGATGTCAGACTATACACTGTCGACTTTGTAGCGACGGCGCTCCGTATAGAACTTCCCTATTAACAGAAGTCTGCTTACGGTTGTCGTGTTTAGCGCGATGTGCGGCCGTGCGTACAATACTACATACGACTGCATGACAGGTTTACCACGATATACAAAATTTCCACAATTGATTTTGAACTCTACCCTCAATGTGTTAATATTTAAAATTATGAGAAATTAGACAGTTTACAAACGACCATTAAAATTTTCATTAGTTTAAAGCGACATTACCCATACAAATTTGTCATTCATTAGAGCTTAAAGGCGTCATTAAACCCTAATGTACGTTTCTGCAACTTACCGAATATAAATTAAAATACACATTAAAAAAGTTTTTAAACATATTACTTATTGGAGTAAACAACAAAGTAAAAAAGCGACGTAGATAAATAAAATAAAGTAGCGAAGTGGCGACAGAATCAACTTGATGCGCCGAGTTGACTCGATAACTCTAAGTGAATAGACTTGAGTGATATTTTTTTTCACTTGAGTAAGTTTGACAAATTTACTTAAGTGACTTGAGTAAAAATAGAACTCGAGTCACATCACTAATCAACACTATGCGGAACTACATTTCAGTGTCTAACACCCGGTTTCTGAACTGAGAATTTGAAGTTGAGCATGTCTCAAACCATGCTTAAGCCATTTTAAATGTCAATTAAACAGGTTTTCATTCATCATCATCAGCCCTTTACGTCCCCACTGCAGGGCCCCAGGCCTTCCGTATGGATGGTTAAGGATCCTCCTTGCCATGACCCTCCACGCTGGCCCAATACGGATTGGAGGGTAAGGTTTTCATTACTGATTTATAATTTTTAAATGATCAATTGATAGCAATTTGATAAAACTAGGACTATTTGCCATATGAAAATTAAAGTTATTGACAATAATCAGATGAGGTTTTATGCTTTTTCTCAATTCAGAAACCGGCCGGTATATTAATATACCCCTTTATCGGAGGTGCAATTTGGTAGCTGGACGTTTTAAAGAATAGGTGAAAATATTCATGATGTTGATATTGCTATGGATGATGCCTGTTTAAAAAAAAACCTATTTAGAGACAATTGAAAAATATGAGATACATATTTTTTTCATTCCATTTAACAAGAAATATTTAAAAATGCATGTAAGCGTTCAATTTTAAGAGTGGGAGCATTTAGAAAATGTACAAAACTGTGATGTGAAAAATATATTTTAACTCAATACATCACCTTAATTTATTGACTATGTAAAAAATCTACATAAATTTGTACTTATAGAAAACTAATAGGGATGATGAATAGAATATTTTTATTTATTTTATATTTACCCATCTCTAAAAATGTCCAGCTATAAATTGCACGTAAAATGGGGTCTAATATTAGAAACTAATTATTTTACTTTGCGAAATTGCTTTATAAAAACAAATAGTAATATCACTTACAGGAGTAGTTGGAGGGTCTTCAGTGAAATATGGATCCTGCATAGCCTGTTCTGATGTTATTCGTTTATTGGGATCCATCAACAACAATCTCTGGAGCAAACTAAAAGCTTTGCTATCCGGTTTAATTTTATGTCTATCCATATACTTACTAAGAGAACAGTTCTGATAACTGAAACAAAAACAGATTTAAGTAACTCAGGCTGTGCAAAAAAGAAGAAAATGAAACAAGTTTAGGTGAAAGACTAACACAGGAAGGTCAAAAAATATCTTTCACTATATGAAAGTTATGAAGTATGTATGTATGTACATAATACATATTACACTCAAATAATTTAATTAGATAACAAAAATAAAACAAATAAAAATCTCACTTTGATCTTTTAAAATCCTTAACTAAAGTAGCATGTTCAGGCATTTTCCTAATATCTTCCCAATCCTTTTCCTGTGGAAATCCCATAACATTAAATATCCTGTCTAACTGGTCATGGTGATAAGGATTACTTGTCTTTATATCTTCCTGTCGACAATGAAATATTGGCTCCGATGTTAACAGCTCAGCAAAAATGCAACCAATTGCCCAGATATCTGAAAAAATACCAAAACCAATTAAAGTTTCCAACTTTGTTTGTGTGTAGGGGGTAATCTTTGGAAATACTGATCAGCACACTTAATCTCAAACACAATCGTGATCGATCAACATTGTAATTGTGAAATTTCATTCTATTGATTAGCTAGCTAGCGCCATAGTATAACTAGTATACCTAATCAAGATTACGAAACGGCACAATTACAATAGCTATCGATCGCGATTGCGTTCGAGAATAAGCGTGCTGGTCATGAAAATTTTTTACCTATGGAAAGTTACATCATAAGCAAAGTGGCAGGAAAACAGTAAGTATACAAAAAATTATTCATAGAAAGTTAAAGCTGTGTAGCCACAAATATTACTACCTATTGCTTTTGTATAATGCCTGGCTCCAAGCAACAACTCTGGGGCTCTGTACCAGAATGTGACAACCACTGGGTCTAGATCTGCCAATGGTTTCAAAGGAGCATTGAATAGACGAGCAAATCCCATATCAGCTATCTTAACTCTTCCTCTTTCAGGTCCCTCTCCCATTACTAAAATGTTAGCTGGTTTCTAAAATTAAAATATAAATTTTTATATATAGAATATATGAAAACTAGAAGTATACAGCCCCACTGTTGGGGCTCAGGCTTTTCCTATGGATGGAATCAAAACAAATTCCATAGGGAGAATGGGCCATCACCCACCACACAGGCTCAGTGCAGGCAGTTGGGTATTAACTGCTACACGTATAGTTGGGGCAAACAGCTTAAAATGCCTTCTAAAACATGGAGGAGCTCACAATAATGTTACTGCCAATCACTGGTCCTTGTGAAAATTGTTTATCAACTGTATCAGAGACCGAGCAAGCTAACCACTGCATCATTAAGCTTATAAAAAGTAACTAATAATAGTAATGAACTAGAACTTACCAAATCTCTATGTAAGACCCAATTTGAATGAAGGTAGTGTATACCATCTAAGATTTGATAAAGTAAACTCTTCACCATTCCCTTTGGTACCATCACAGACTTCTTGTTAGCTTTAGCAGCTCTATGAAACTTTATAATATGCCAAAGATCATGTTCAGCATAGTCAAAGAGTAACCACACTTTACGATCAGTATGAGAGAGAAATACTCTGATCAAGTTGATAACATTAGGGTGTTTCAACTCACGAAGAAGCTGTAATGAAAGAAAAATAAGTTGTTAAAACTGACAATAGAAGAGAATTACCAAATTTGTTTGGGCTCTAGTTTTTCTTTACTATGCGAATAGTGTATTTCATAAATTCTTATCTAAAACTACATAATAATAGTATTAAAAATATTAAGACTGGCCAAGGACTCAAAGCTGCACCTTATTATGAATGCAATAATCAAAAATTAAGGCAGATCTTTTGATATAACTATAATTTGATGAACAAAATTAAATAGTATATAAATGAAATTCGTCGCTTACTGCGATTTCTCTACAAGCTGACATGGAAAGGCCAGTCCCTTCTATCTGTTTCAAAGCATAATCTTTCGTGTCTGAGCCGTCTTTTCTTCTGGCTTTATATACATGGCCGTAGGTACCCCTGCCAACCTTACAACCTTCGAAATCGAATAAATCTTCTACTTTAGATCTTTCATTCTGCGTTTTCACTTTGAAGTCATAGTCCATCATCACAGGTGCCATTGTTTTATTATTTTGAAAATTGTCGCCCATTTTAGATTTTTGGCAATGACTGATTATGATAACATTAAGACATTACAGCGTGAGTACCTCAGCTAGGTACTTCATATAAAATACTGCACTCAAAATAGATTTTGCTTGAGCCATAAAAGTTTTTATTAGATTTTATTTGTTAAAAAAAGATTACAATATTTTTGATAATAAAATTTAAAACGCTTCCTTGCTTCTGCCTAAGCTTCAGCTACTAGTTTTTTTTATTGAGCTTAACGGCTCTGGAATCAAGTCTTTTTGAGCCATATAGGTGGAAAAAACGGCTTAAATTTTTTAAGCGTTGTTACGTTGTACGATTTTAATAAGCGTTTTTAAAAACTGCTTATTGAAGCACTACGTCCGTGTCTTACTAGCACAGGTATTTTTATTTAGGTATTTTTTCTAATCTATTATTTATGTAGTCTATTGTTTATGGTTTTGTCTTTCAGCCGCCATGTAAAGAATTTAAAATATATTTTTCAATGCAGTTGCTCATAAAGCGCTATTTTTTTAATCCATTGTAAACACCGAAAGTGAGTCTTTAAATAAAAATGTACTGAAATCCTTAACTTAAAAGTATTACACGTGCTTAAAAGTATTTTTTTAATTTTTGTGGCCGAGCACCAAAGATATTAAAAAAAAACTGATGAAAATATGTCAAATTTTAGAGGCAAAAGAGGGTATTTCAAGGAGCCTAGAACGAATATTTTCAAATAAAAATTTATGACACAAAACATGTTTAAATATTACGTTTAATTTTAACAAATAATTTTTACTTTTAATACATACTTAGTTTTATTAATCCTTTATATTTGTTTTATTTCCTCGCAAAAAGCATTGAAAAATGTTGTAAGAAACTTGAGCGTAAAAGGTTTTTCGAGTATGACACAAAAACATGTACAAATATCACGTTTATTTTTAACAAATAATTTTTACCTTTAATAGATACTTAGTTTTATTAACCTATATATTTGTTTTATTTCCTCGCAAAAAGCATTGAAAAATATTGTACGAAACTTGAGCGTAAAAGGTTTTTCGAATTCGTGCCAGTGATTGGCCCTTATTCGTAAAACCTTACTTTCCGCACTCGTATCTTAAATAACTATTACAATCTTGTGTGAAGATTACAGTTTAGTTATTTTAATTGTATAACAGTTTTATTAAACAATTTGTAATTTATGATAGCGTGTTTTCTGTGCCAAGGCCCATTATCAGACTCGCGCTATATTATTGCTTATACGCTTTTTTTCAACTGACGTTTGGAAAAATCCCGAAATAGAAAAATTGATTGAAGCTAGTAGTTAAATCATGACTTGATAGATGGCGGATGGTATGATTAGCATAAGCATACTTTTCTTCTAAGTGAAAAACCGCTTTTGCACTTATTTAATAAAGCATGCTTAATTAGGTGCTTTTCATTTAAACGTCCATCTCTAAAGCCATACATTATGATCAGAGATGTACAAAATACCCTGTACAAAGTATCTGGAATACAAGATACAAAATACTTTTAAATTAAGTATTTCAGATACCAGATACGAAATACTTTCGAGAAGAGTATTTGAAATACTAGATACAAAATAGGTATCTTGTAGATACTTTTTATAAATACAAATACTTTTCTAAAAAAAGATTTGAATTTAAGTTTGTTTATTAAAGACCACAAAAACCTAAATCTTAGACAAGATGGTTCCAGGGACAAAGTGGATTTTTTAAGCATTTTTCATTAGAAACAATTTTTGTAAGCTTTTATTTAGTTTTCTGTGTTTGTACTCAAATCTTAGAAGTTAAATTTCACCCACTTTTCCTCCGTTTTATTTGTTTGTCAATCACAATATAACATATAAAAATGCAAATATTTAATACATCAGGTTTAAATTATTTTAAATTTTTTAGTTCCTTTTTAATAATATTTTTTTTTCAATATAGCATTGTGAATGAAAAATTATTAAAATTTAATTATAAAATTATTATTTATTTAAAAGCTGGTTTTACGTACGACGTAAAATTACGGAGAACTGAAAATTCATTTTTTCCTAGTGAGATGAAGAGAGTGGGTAAAAATAAATACAGTACTTGGTTTTTAAAATTAATGGCGGACTTGTGACGAGGTGAATGTGCGATAGTATGTAAAGGAACGTATATTAACTTTTTTTGCAGAACTACCGAAAATTATGCCTCTTTAGTGTGTTAAGCTAATTTGAAAATTTTTAGTAGAAAATACTTAGCTTCTGTGGTTGATTATAGTACGTTGGTTTGTAGGAAAGGCTTATAATACGTAGATGTACCTAAAAAGACGTAGAGTTGGTATTGCTGGTACTGTTGGTAATGCGCCATTAGTTACCATCTGATCGGATAAATCCGGTCTCAACCGGATTTGAAGTATTAATTAAGTCTTTATCTATGAAATTTCCGTTTTTAATAAAATAAATGAAGCTTTATTTTCTTATTTCTATTAATCAAAGTAATCACCCATGCAATCAATACATCTTTGCCAACGCATTGGTAGCTTAATGATGCCTTCTTGAAGAAATCAACTGGACGGGAGGCAACAAATACTTCAAAGGCGTTTTGTTCTGCCTCTCGAGAATTTATTTTTTAATGTAGGCGCATGGTCTGTTAAGTACGGCGGATGACGGAGAACTACAAACCCCAGCTCTTGTAGCTTGGGTACCGCCAATTGTGTAGTATGAGGTCGTACGTGGTCGTGCAGGAGCAGTGGAACCGAACGATTGACAAAACCTGGTTGGAGTTGTGCCAGCTTCTCCGTTATTGTGTTCAGTTCTTCACAATACACACAGTAAATCTGCAGTAATGCTCGTCCTGTTTGGTAAGAAGCTGTGATGAAATACATCCGCGTTAGACCACCAAACAGCAACCTTTTCGTCAACCAATAATGGGTGGTGCGTTCGTTTGTAGTGTTCGCTCTGCAAACGTACTCATACTCCAAACGGCACATATACTCCATAATTACTCGAATTTTTGACTTATCCATGACGACGAAAAATATTCAAATGCATTGAAAACAAAACACTTACTATTGAACAAATGACGATTTTAGAAAAAAATATTTGAATTATCAGCCAAAAAAATAGTTTGATTTTAAATGGCTAGTACAGCAGAACGGTAATTACATAGGTAAAGACCTAATATTAAGACAGGACTCCGCCCATTTTTTTGTTGTTTCTCAATAAAGATCCCTTAAATTAAATGGTTACGTTAGTGGTTTTTTGGTATAATTACATCACAGATTGTGTTGTATTTTTGAAAAATAAAGGAGTATTAATTGACGATGTCAAAGAAATTATTTGAAGAATTTTTTCTATTATCAAATTTATTTTTATGACGAATTAGTTGAAAAGCAGTGGGTAATTATTTTCAATATATGCAATGACAGCACTCGTTTCCGAACTACTGAAGATTTGTCAGTATTTTTTTTTTGTATTATGCCTCATAATGCGAATATTGTTTTTTTTTTCGCTCATGAATATGCAGTGGTCAAAAGATAGAAAAAAATTAACTGTTGAGTCAATAAAAACAATATTGCTTTGCTTACGGAATATAATTTCAAGCATTTGCCATGTATCGAATTTCACAGTGAAATTTCTTTAAAAATAAACTTTTTGAATGCTGTTGTTAGTGAAAAAAGTATAATGTGCAAAAAAATAATAAAATTTAATAATGAGTTTAATTTACATCTTTTGTAGTAATAATTTTCAGATTTTTGTATGTACTGAAAACGAGACAAAAACTGACTAGGTATTGTTATATCGACGGTTATATTTCGTAAAGCATGTGCTATTAACAGTCAAAGTATTTATAAAAAAATTAGACCAAGATGTAATAAATTAAAGTAATAAAATAAGTGAAAGTAGCCAATGTATTATTTAATTATCATTTCTACTATAAGTACAGTAAGGTAGGTGTCTAATTATTTCCATATAATTCATTTGAAAAATTATCGAATTACCTACCTAAGTAATCATTAAAATTAATAAAAAACAATCCGCATGCTTTCCAACGTTTTCTCGATTTTAAGTGCAAACTCTTTCCGAGAGTGCAACTTCAAGTTAAGGAATGTTCACAGGTTGACATGACTGGGTGTTTGTATAATAAAACTTCCCTTGATGGAGTATTGTTTCGAATTCCAACACGCGTACGCCGGCAGGGTTAAGGTCAACACTTAAACCTAGTTCATGAAATTTTGCGTTCCATTAGTACGAGAAAATTTTAGAATTCATAATAAGCAAATCGGCTCAATTTTTGTAATATTTATGTAGATAGCGTATCTTTATATTAGAGTAAAAATATCGAGTGACATTTGGACAGCCTAACCCTAAATTGCAACAAAACTGCATTTTTAGTATGAGGAAGTATTTATATAAAAAAAACAAAGAAACTTCAAAAATTTATTGCACTAGATGGCAGCACAAATTTTAGGATCTAAATGTCAATTCATGACGTTAAACCAAAGAGAATAGAATTATCAGTGTTGTTTTATAGATCTGATAACTCGGATTAATGTCGAGTTGAACGACGATGTCATATTTATTAATTTTCGACACTTAATTTACTTTTATTACGTCAGAAACAAAAATTGAATTAATATCATAGACAAGATCCAAACATCGCTAGTGACATCTAGTTTGATTTCAAGAACTAATTTTAATTTTTTAAATACTTCCTCATACAAAAAAATTACATTTGGGTTCAATGCCTGTTTAGAGAAACTTGATAATTTTTCAATTTAAACATCAAAAATGTTAAATTAAGTCTTACCCTACGATATTTACAATGTATTACTATACTATCCAACTACTAAGTGACACAATAGATCGTCCACTCTTCAAAGATATCGTATCTTGGACGTAACATCAAAGCTTCCCTTTAACGATCTCCAGTGACTGTGCACCCCTTTAAATAACCGAATTATAAACGGTTTTAAAGGGTGCCGCCCTACCTATTAGCTGTTAAACCATAGATTTATTAACTGTCATTAGGGA